AATTTAATAACATGAATATAATATGTGCAAATAATAAAATGTAGACTCTATAAATAAACGTTACCTCTAAGGGGGACAGCCTGTCCAGCAATAACCGTATCGATCGGAGGCGGTCAACGGACTTCTTCTCCGAGCGCGGACTCCACGCACAAGCACGCGACATCCCCTCATCAATAGGAACTGGGTCACGATGTGGTCGCAATGCAGGAAAGTACTCGTATATCCAAGTCTGCAACAGAGTCAGACACCCAGTGATACCTGCCGCGTCAGCCCGACTCGCAAATCCTAGTTGGCGATACAAATACGCCAACGTAGCCGATCCCCAGGAAAACTGGCCTACACTGTCGGGGTCACACGCCTCTACGATGTCGCGTGGCCTGAGCTTGTTTCCGCCGCTCTTATCCGGAAACAAGGTACATCCGAGGAGTAGAAAAACATAAGCACTCAGCTGTGCGTCGGGCGTCCTACGTGCACTCGGGTACAAACACCGCTGCAACACGGATGCGATCTTCACACCTCCGTGTTCCCAAACACTTAGCGCCTCGGTGTACAGTGCAGCCCTGTCCACCGCCAACAACTCCGCCAGCGAATCTGCCTGATCCGCATCAGCCACAGCACAAAGTCGTTTACCCTCAACACGAATCCCCAGAATGGCCTCGACGTCATGTAACATGATCGTCATCTCACCGAACGGAAGGTGGAAAGAGTTTGTATCCGGCTGCCATCGCTCAATGAAAGCCGTGATCAGCGTACTGTCAATCTTATCGTGCATGGTGGCAGGAACGTGCTTCACCCCAGTGCCCTCCAGTCGCTCGAACATCTCGCTCTCCGCCGGCCAGGCCTCAGCCCATGTACGCAAAAAGCTACAAGTCTTTTCCCGGGTATGACATTTCAACAACCCCGTAACTGAAGGCCTCTCCTGGTCCTCCCAAATACGGGAAACTATGTGTCCTAGAAAGCTAGGAATCACACTCCCGTCAACAGGCCCACCGGGCACCTCACTCCTAACAACCCAAGAATCATTACCGGCCCTCGACCGTTTCCTGCTTGCCCCAGATACAGTGGACGCAGATGATGTGCCAGATCTACTAACAAACCTACCACCCCTACCCTTACGCACCTCCACCATATGCGTCTCGTACATGTCATCAACCCTCTGACTGAATGGACCGTAATCATCATACGGTCCACTGCCATCGTCCACATCCTCATCCTCATCTGCGCCCTCCTCCTGCTCGTCCTCCTGGTCACCCTCCTCAGCATCATCATCGTCATCGTCATCCTCATCCCGACGGTGGATCCGTTCTCTACGAACTGAGGTCGAAATACCACGGGATCTGACATGTCTATGCCCCGACCTCTCCACTGAATAACTTCTACTAAGAAGCTCTATATTCTTCCCCGCACCATGACGACCCAGTGAATTCTACACAAAATTTTAAAATATATAAACATACAAAAATTTATACGATAAATAATCATCATCGCAAATCAAATAAACTAAAAACATACAAATAATTGTAAACAAAATATAAACGTAGAAAAAATACAACGAAATTGAAAAAATTTATAAAAATAAACAACAAAATATAAAAACAATTCAAAATTATATTACAAAAAAAAAAAAAAAAATTAAAAACAATTTTTTTAAAAAATAAAAAATAAATAAAATTGGGGGGGGGGCGCCCTGGCTGGACGCCCAGCCGGCGGTGGTGGCGCCAGCTGCAGACGCCGCCACCAGTTGGCTGGCGCCTGGGCTGGACGCCACAGCCACGGCTGCGGCGCCTAGAATAAACGCCACAACCGTGGCTGTGGCGTCCAGCCCAGGCGCCAGCCAACTGGTGGCGGCGTCTGCATCTGGCGCCACCACCGCTGGCTGGGCGTCCAGCCAGGGCGCCCCACCGCGTTCACGGCGGTTTTTCCCTTTTTTTTTTTTTTAAACAAAATGTACCTTTCCTCCTTGGGACATCCTTCCCTCCGCCGCCGCCGCCAATTCCTTGCCTTGCCGCCTCGACATTGCCGTTATTTGAAATTTTTTTTTTTTAGAGAGGTTGGAAGAAGATGAGCAATGAGAGTGTGAGTGATGAGAGTGTGAGTGTTTTTTTTTTTAAGGTCAAGGGCAATTTTGGCAAACCAAGTGAATTTTGTGGGCTTTATGTAGTAATTTGTGGGCGATGTTTAACAAATCCCTTTATTTACTAAATGTTTTTTTACATGCAGATCTAACGCATCATACGATACAAATAAAATTTCGTATCAATACAAAACCCCATCAAGCGAATTTTGTGTTAGTTTTAGGTCATCAATGTCCGGGTAATTTTTAAAATCTTATGTTTAAATTTATATTTGTAATTATTAGTTATATTGTATTTATTTAGGATACTTAACGATTATTTGTTTATGTAATGGCATACGATTAGATGTTGTATACTTAATATATGAGTGGCTTTGGTTATTTTTGGAGATGATGAAAAAATTCCTATGCATAGATTTGATTTTATATCGCAACAATTTTTCATTTATTGGTAAATATATTGATTTATTTTATATAAATGTAAAGATTTAATTTATATCAATTTCAGTTTGGCTAACATTTCACGGTTCAATTTATCCATTGATGTAGTAGGTTGATTGTGGACGAGGTTGGTGATCTATCGAAATAAAAGATATGGTAAAACAATGAATAATGATTTAGGATTTAAATTATTAAAAATTTATCATTTCACATTAAAGATTTTATATAACGGAAAAAATATCATATTTACAATTTATTTATATTTAATAAATTCATTATAAACTATAGTAAAAAAAATATTAAACTTTTGTAATTTTGTCTGAAATTATTAAATACAATAAATCAAATAATTAAAATCTTAGATGAAAAAACCGTGCATCGCACGGGCTTCCATCTAGTCTATAATTATGCTAAAATAGAGGGCACTCAAGCTAAATCATGACACGTATCGCTCTATAGTTAAAACTTTTCCCGCTCATTTTACCACCTCTAAATATATCAATTACATCTTATATATATTGTTGGGTTCGTATCAATGTGTAGTTTTATATATTGTTGGGTTCGTATCAATGTGTAGTTTAATGATATACATCAATTTTTTATAATTTTTGTTAATACATATATTTAAAGATATTGATGGTCAAATGTACCTCTTAAATACCGTGCAAAGTCAAATTGGGATTATCAAATTGAAATTGAGGGAACATTTTTATTAACAGATGTTTTTTTTGTTGTATTTGGTTCAAAAGATATCATTATTTGCACAAATTAATTATATTGAAGCTTCTCCGTCGTCAAAATTGAACGTATATATTCATATCTTTGTTTCTATGTATTTATTTAAATAATGAATTGCAAATATGATAATGAGGGTTGTGATAAAATATTTAAACTTTATAAAACCGTGCAATTGTACGGGTTCTATACTTAGTGTAATAACTAAACGGAACTCTATTATGCATGTTTAACTTGTTAATATAAAGCAACTAATATGAAGATTCTCTAGAAGATATAGAGTGCTTCCATGTTACACTACTCTGTATGTAATTAATAAATCTATCATATTACACGTATTTAATTATACCTTTTTTCTCTGTCATGTTCCGTTTCTATCACATTAGTCAAAGTTTTAAATTAAATTAAAATTGTCATTTCAAGGACAAAGTTGAGTTATTTAACTTGGACTTTAACTACGAACCAATAATCTACGTAAAAGGAACAAACACTTATGTTAGATCTTAGCTTGTTATTTGTTTTCACTGAATTTTAAATAAAAAACACCAAAGACGTGTTTTATATATAGGGTAAATGTTTACTGAAATTGAATTGCTTTGGAAAAACAAGTTTTTCTTTCACAAAATTAATAAATTCAGCATTTTCTCTAAATAAATTTTTTGTGGTACTGTAGCTTCTCTAAATATTTTTCCCATACTAAGAGAAGCTACAATACTACAAAAAATTTATTTAGAGAAAATGCTGAGGGCCGTTCAATTTTACTTTTTTTTTTTTTTTTTTTTTTGCATACTTTTCTTCAAAAAAAAAATATATATATTTTTCCCATACGAAGTACAAAGTATTTAAGATAAATAGGTGAGTGAATAATATTATAAACGAATTTTATACCACCTTAGTTTTATATTTTTTGCAACTTAGGAGTATTATTTGTGAGATATAAAATATTTCAAAATTTAAAAAAAAAAATGAAACGGAGGTAGTATATTAATCCGTATGAATTGTATATCCAGCGTGCCTATCTAGAATTAAAATTTGGTTTCAATGAAGTCACTTTCCCAGTTAATAATCCATATTATTCCTATGATAATTAAGCAGAAACCAAGAGAGTACGTCAACACTATTTCTTTCCGTTGACCATGACATTCAATTCTACAACGGGCGCAGGCAAAGGATACAGCTTAACTACTTTTCTTGTAAAAAAAAAATAAAAAAATTAAATGAAAAAAAAAAGTAAAATTTGGTGGATATAATTCTTACGTCAGTGATTATCTAGCTTGTTAGCTGAAGTAGAGGTATTCAAATTAGAAGTTTCATTTTATTTCGTAGGAGAGTTCTTTTTGGTTGCATCCTCTTGCGAGAAAAAAAAGTAATAAACGACAATAGCTAATTAAGTATGTTCCCAAATGAATTAAGAAAGAATTACTTGCTAGGCTTATATTTCACAATTGTCAATTCTTATACTTCCTCCGTTCTTTTTTTATCGCATCACTTACTACTTTAGCAAGTTTACTTATTATTGCATCATTTCCTTTTTAGGATAAAAAATATCTATGTTCACACTGCAAATACCCAACATACCCTTACTTTTTCACACTTACTTTTTATTTTATCTTACATTACATGGACAATTTTGTATTTTTACGTTTCTCTCTCTTACTTTTTCCCACTACCAAATTTTGCCTCCAAAACCCCTATGATGCAATAAAAAAAACGGAGGAAGTATTATTTTTCATCACATACACCCTAATTACTAGTGAGTAAAAATTATTAATAAATTGATATTGTGTAAGTATAAATAAGACTAACATACATAACATTTACAATATATATTTTGACTAAAGCTACTCAAATTTTAAAAAATCAAACATTCATGCATTGAACGGAATTCAAACTAATTTACTTAATGCAACGTCAATTTTTTTACAAATACAACCAACGAAAAATTAAACATGGCAACAAATAAATGGGAAAAAATTGGCCCAAATGCTAATAAGTGTTTTTTTAAAAAAAAAAAAAAAATAATTGAACACGTCAACTCACAGAAGTCAATTTCGTTTATGAGAGTTACTCTAGTTTGGAAAATGAACACCATAATCGATCTTCTTCCCGTTATTGTGTTTACGAGGTGGTAGTAGTTTTAGCAATCATAGTTATTTTTGGATATCACATTTTTGTGATAAAATTTTGATCTTTTCCCCGACGGAACTGACCTCAAACTTGCAACCAACCTTAACATCAATTTTCTTGGTAAATAGCCAAGTCTTTAACTTAAGAGGGATGTTGAATAGTAGGTTAAAAGGCAGTGGTTTTTTACGATTTTTGTTGTTATGAGACTGAGACACTAATTCCTTAGGCAAACCTCCTTTCGACGAAACTGCAAGAACCACATCTACTGAATCAGATTTGCCAGATCCTTCATTTACTAGCGCAGGATACGAGCCGTGCCCTATCGCCTTCCCTTTGTACACGAGTGTGGCGTTTCCTTGTCCATACCCGATATCGTTCACACTATTTGGGTTCGTTGTCTCCAAGGATACCTATTACAATCAACATTAGTATGCACTACTAACAAACTTATATATAGATGAGTTATCAATTTGTTGGACTTGAGTACATACAGATACAATAGGCTAATTTGTTTAAAGCCCAATAGCATTTATTTGTTTAAGGTCCAAAAAAATATTGACTACATTATCTATGTAATCTTATATCACTTGTAATCTTCTTGTTGAATTCATCATAATGTGTGTTTTCATGACATTTATACTATATATATTAAAAGATGTTCTTGAACAAGCCTACATACCACACGACGCCCTTCTTAATTAATCAAATCTTTCATTTCACTTGCTTAAAAATATAGATTGTATAAGGTTTGAAACTACAACCTTAAGTTTAAAAACTAAAATGTTATCACTGAGCTATCAACATATTATATGTCATTTTATCAAAATTAAATATAAATAACAATTTCAATTATGGAATTAATGTAGTAACTTAGGGTATCGCCCGAGCCTAAAAACTAGTTTTTTTTTTTCGAGGAAAACTAGTTTATAATATGAAACTTAGTATATTAACTATTATTAAGGGGTAAAAGGTGTGCATTGGATACCATGTAAAATTTAACATCTTTATGGAATAAAACTAAAACTATGAAAGGAGTATGTAGTACGTTGATGTTTTTAATTCCTCTTAAGATTACTCTTCTGCAATTTAGAATATAGAGTCATTTGATGTCTTATTGAATTGCCTTAATGTCTATATTTATAATCTAAAAACTTCTAATTTCCTTCAATATATAGCTGAAAATATTGTAAATCGAAAATAAAATAATCAAAGATTGACCTCAAATAATAAGCATGAAATTAAACATTATCTTCAAACTATAAATCATGAAGAATATGCAATTGACACAAATTAAAGAAAAATAATGCTACCTCCGTTTTATATCATATTTTTTTGCAACTTGTATTATTTGTGAGATATAAAATATTCTAAAGTTGCAAAAAATATAAAAGGAAGGTAGTAATTAAAATAACGTAAAAAAACAAAAGTTGTAGGGTATAATTTACCTGTAACTTAGGAGAAGCATTCTTCTTAGAAGAAGGCGGAGGGTTCTTAATGATAACACGCTTGATAGAGAAATCAGGATTCTTAGGACTCAACGTAAAATGATGCACACAAACAATTACACTAACAATGAAGGCAACCACAAGGAATATAGACAAGCACCAATATGCACACCGGCGCCGACGACCACTTTGGTTATTTTGCACCGGGTTCCGGTACTTTTCCACAATCCCGGCATTCTCCGGTGGCGGAACCCGGTATATTTGATCCTTAGGGACTTGGATAATGTACGTTGAATGAGGTTGTTGGTTGGAGTTTTCTTGTTTTGTAGAGGGGACAATTCGCATTTCCTCGTCTTCATTTTCCGTTACATTTTTCTCGTGATAGATATTGTAAAAATCGTCGAATTCCTCATCTTGATCCTCATTGTTCGTGGAGCTACGATTGTGGTCGTGGTCATGGTTGTGATCGTGATCGTGGTCGTGGTCAGGTGGGACCCGCTCCTCCATCGAAAAAATGGGGAGCGGTATTCACAATGAGGATGGAAATAGGGGATGAAATATAATTTTGGGTTCTAACAGTTAATGTATGAGATTATTATTGGAGCAAAACAAGGAAGGCATTGTAGTGTTAACAATAATGTTATGATTGTTGTGATTTCTCCTTTTCTTGCTTGTGTTGGAATTGGATTGTTTTTCTGTCATGGTGAAAAATGATGAGGGTGGATAATGGTGGGAAATTATTGGGTTGGAAAAGAGAAAATTAGGGATGAGAGGTTGTTACACCTTCTAAATAAGTCGTCTTGTCGTGTTGTCAATCGTCACGCCCTTCCTCTCCCCTCTTTGTCTTTTATGTGCTTACTTTAAATTTTATTTTTTCACATTGTCACTTTTTAAATCAAATATTAAAATTTGACTCTATACTTTACACTTTTTAACTAACAACATTGTTGCCGCAAAATTTGCCACACTATCTATATCAACAATACTATTGCATGCATTCAAATAATTACATTTTTAGTAAAAGGGAGTTATATACCGGTAGCTAATTGGTCATTTTGATTGCTAGATAAATTCAAATCAAGTTATTTCAGGTCAAATTTAAGTTACTATCTTGCTTCATGTTCAACCTAGAGCTAATGGGCTATATATGTCTAATAATTTCAAATTGGGCCGGTACTAGTTTGCATCAATGATTTCTTAACTCAAACATCCTCCTTGTGCTCCAATTCATTTGCAATGCAAATCTATTGCATTAAAAATATGTATGAATCCAGACGAACTGATTATGTAACTCATATCTTTTCATCTTACTTTTATGCATTATACGGAATTGAATCTAGTATTAATTAATAATAAAGGGTTTTTTTTTTATTCATTAGCTCACTGAAAGAATTGCTAACAAGGTATTCAATAGACTACTTTTTAATTTTTATTTTTGACTCGGTCACCTCAACTCCACTATATATACAAGTATATGGTTGAGATCAAAACACTAAGCACATTCCATTAGGAAAAACAATCAAAGTCCCCACCACATTAATTTTTCCACAATGCAAAGTTTTCTCCAAATAACCACTTTTTCTCTCTTAATCTTCTACTCCCTTTCCCTCCCATCACCAACCCAAGCTACCTTTGATAGAACCATAGAAGATGAAGAAGCCCAAGTCCTTGGTCTAAACTTCAAGAAAGAAAAGCTAACTCACTTCAAATTCTATTGGCACGACATCGTTGGAGGGCCAAGGCCAACATCAGTCAAGGTGGTGAACCCGCCAAGGAAGTCCACCACCGCGTTTGGTGTGATGAACATGATTGATAACCCGTTAACGGAAGGTCCAAAACTAGGGTGGGTTCTACGCCTCGGCTTGCCAGACGGACGTAGGGCTTCTGATGGCCATGAACTTTGGTTTTGTGGAAGGGAAATATAATGGTAGCACCATCACAGTGTTAGGGAGGAATATGGTGTTTAACATGGTTAGAGAAATGCCTGTGATTGGTGGGAGTGGATTGTTTCGGTTTGCTAGAGGTTATGTTCAAGCTAGGACTTATACTTTTAATCCTAAGAATGGTGATGCTACCGTTCAATATGATTGCTATGTTATGCATTATTAATTAATTTTGATTTTTACTTACTAGTTATTTTGAGTAAGTGTTAGAAAATCAAATATCAATATTTGAAAGTGGTCAATATGCATGATCCACTCTCATATACGTACGTAGCATACTTTGGCAAAAGCTATTGATAATTTGTAAGAGTGAATCAATTTACCTATTTTCAGGAATTGATTTATCAGTTTTTAAGGTGTTTATTGTATCAAAATTGAGTTCAATTATCATTTGAGGTATTTTGTTGGTTATTAAGTTGTATAATTTTAAACTTAATGTACGCATGAATTATTAATTAAATTTAAAGAGTTCATTCAGTGTGTTTCAAGTTAACAAGTTAAAATTTTGTGTAAATGTCGGTTACTTTCGCGATTTACCTAAAAAGCCCCAAACAATAAACACGAATAGTTAAAGATTCAGCTTTCTTAGTACTTGCATAATCATAGTCATGATATGGTCCACATACATATTGATGCATGAGTTGATTGAAGCTTCAACAAGAAGCATCCAAGGCATCCAAAATGTTAAAACATGCTTAATCAATTAATCATGGTGTTGGTGATATTTTAACATATTTTTGTTTGAATATATAATACTTATGATTCAGCAAGCTTAAATATTTTGTCTACATATATAGAGATACAACAGAGAACAATCATCATAAGTCCTTGTAATTTTGCTTGATATGACCGTTAGGTGTGCCAAATGTATTCGTTTATAACTGGTCACAATGAATATTTCGGTGCACCATAAATTATATACGGGTTATTTTTTTTCATTAAAATAAAGTAATATGGCATCGCTTAGGTTGATAATGGAATGAGTATTACATACAAGTGTTATGATTTTCTATTCATGTAAAAATAAATAGGGTGAGACTACCACTTAAATACATAAGATTAGGCCTATTAGGGCTTTTATGCCAATTATTTTGATTGAAATTTGATTTTACTCGGTAAATGTAATCAATGTGTCAAATATTTTTTTCCGGTGCATATCTAGCTAATATCACTTCATATTAGCTTAGCTTAACCTTAACTAACAAGCTAAATGAACCAACTAATAATCAACTAACCATTTTATTGGCAAAAATGAATACAATAATATCTGGATTGTTATCTAGTTTTAATAGGGCCGGCATTTTTTTTTTTTTTATTGATTTTACAAGTGCTAACTTCTCTTAAAGTCAAGTCCAAAGACTCCAAACACCTAATAAGTATACTTTGCTATCATTACAATTACATTTGGTCACATTCCATACAAGATAACTTGTTGAAAAAAAAAAACTTTGTTTTTAAAATATTCTACGGCATGTAATTATTAAATAATCACATTAATTAGTGTAGTAACCATTAACAAATGTGCATAGAAATTGAAATTATAGTGTGAGTATGTGTTTGACGATTATAGCATGGGCAAAAGCCATATTTTCTAAGACTATTCAAGTAGTGGGTGGGTAGGATCACAATATTGAGGTTTGGTAGGATTACAAATTTACAAATTATAGTTATCAAAGATAAAATAAAAGAGTATTTCTGGAGGTAGTCACTGCACCACACACCTCCCCATTGATCACAAAGGAGTATTTCACCGAAAAGACAAGCGTCATCACCAAGTTAACCTATCTCCCATCAAACCCCATCTTCAAGAGCAATTGACTCAAAAATCCCCATTCAACCCGATCATAGGCCTTACTCATGTCTAGCTTCATAGCAATGTGACCCTTCCAGCCTCTGCTTCTCTTTTTCATAGAGTGGAAACATTCCAGGGCAATTAGAGCATTATCAGTAATCAAACGGCCCGAAACAAAAGCACTCTGATTTTCAGAAATGATCTCCTTTAAAACATCTTTCAGTCTAATCACTAGACATTTAGCGACCAATGTATATATCACATTACAAAGACTGATAGGGCAAAGTTCTGCGGCAAATTTTGGTTCTTTAACTTTCGGGATGAGGGCAATATTTGTTTTATTAACATTCTCCGGCAGGCCATTTCCATTTAAAATTCCAATGACAAAATTAGCTACATCATTACCAACATTCCAACAATATGCCAAAAACGTTGATAAAAGATAGCATGCATGCCATCCGGACCTGGGGCCTTGCTAGGGTGTATTTGTTTAAGGGCCGTGTGGACGTCCTCCTTTGTATACCGTCTCATGAGCCTATCATTCATAGCTTGAGAGATTTTAGCTGGCACCTTGCCGAGCACATGGTCAAAATCGGCATTTGTAGGCTTTGATGATGTGTAAATACCCTCAAAATAGTCACTGATTATTACGGCTATCTCCTCCTCCTCGTTTCTCCATACTCCACCCTTATCCCAAAGACCACTAATAGTGTTCTTTCTTTGACATTGTGAGGCTTTGTGATGGAAATATTTCGTGTTTTTGTCACCTTCTCTGACCTCCGCAACTCTAGATCTTTAGTGCCAGTAAGATTCATATTTTCCTTCCAACTCCTCCAACCTTTTCTCAAGCTCACTACATTCTCTACAACTCTCTTCATCACTAGGCCTTTCTTGAGCTCTTTGTAATGCAAACTCGGTATCGACAATTTGCTTCCCTAACTTATTGTAGTGCTCATCACTCCAATTTAACAGCTTCCTTCCCACAACTGACACCTTCCCCATCACGTCTGAATTCGCACCCCCCACCCAAGCTTCCTTAATAATTTCCTCACACCCTTCATCAGCTAGCCAAAACGTCTCAAATTTAAACTCTTTTTTCTTTTTCTTCTTCTTTTTTACAGGGGTATCATCATAATGGAGCAATATGGGGGCATGATCCGATTTAATTCTCATTATGTGATCGACATACGCCTTATTGAACATTGCACACCACGACACCGAGCCTAGAAATCTATCCAATCTTTCACGGACCCTTGTATCCGGATTTCTACCACGTTCCCAAGTATACCAAGTGCCTCTATACCCCAAGTCTCGCAGTTCAAAATCAGACACCACCTCCCTGAAGTTCTCCATCTCCTTCCTCTCCCCAAGCGCACCACCCTCCCTCTCATCATAAGACAATAACTCGTTGAAAACCCCCCCAACAAAATTGGAACCTCGTCCTCACATAAATTTCGCATGAGCTGCCAAGTATTTGCTTTCTCTTCTGCCTTAGCCCGGCCATAAATTCCAGCAAACCTCTATTTCAGAGCTCCCTCCCTCCAAATGTCACCACATATATGGTGCTGTGAAAATGAAACTAGCCTAAAATCAACCTTCTCCCTCCAATAAATACATAAGCCACTAGACTGGCCTCTGCTTGAAACTCCAAATGCACCATGGAAATCCAATGCACCCCTAAGTTCCTCTACTATTGTATTCTCTACCATAGTCTCAGATATGAAGAGAATCTCTAGGCTATACTTGTGACTCCATTTTTGGAGTCGCCGAACTGATCAGGGATTGCCCATTCCCCGACAGTTCCAAGCTAGCACACTCATTGGATACGGCGGGGTTGGTCATTGCCAACCTCCGCCATCGGCCCCACACCATTAGAAAAAGTTGTGTAAATGATCTTCTTCCCAATATGTTGCTCCTCTCCCGTTTCCCCTCCTTCCTCCCTGACACGTTTCCCTATTTCAAAAAGCCTACCCTCTTTCTTGTTCCCTCCTTTGCCCTCCCTACAAAATATTTTCCACTGCTTCCTCCCCCCTCTTCCTCCTACCTCATCATTCCTGCCTACCAAATGAGTTACCTTGGTACCATGATCATGACCAAAAGCACCTTCTCCTGCGATAGTGCCTTCCTGGACAACCCTTCTCTCCTCTACCCCCCCTTTTGTTCCCTCCTCAGCCACATCAAATGGGGTCAAGTGACAGTCTTCCAAGGTTGCATCCAATCACCCTTCTATATCAGAGACTTCCAGCGTCTTTGCATCTTGAGCCATGCTCTTGCCCAAACCAGACACCTCTTCTCCATCATCGGAATTATGAGGAAGAGGTTTAGTAATGAAGAGTTTTCGCACCGCGTTTCTTAGGTCCCCTACATCATCATGACTTTCGTTTTTTGTTGCCTTCCATGGGGTAGCAACTCTCAATTTCTCACTGTAATTTCTGCGAATCCCATTCTCCTCACTGTCTTTCTCACCATGGCCTAACAAACCACAAATGTAGCAGAAAACAGGTAGCTTTTCATATTTAATCGGCACCTCCATAACCCCCTTCCCAGTTCTTAATTCCACCGTTTTTTGAAGCGGTTTGTTAACATCAATACGAACTCGAAGTCTTAAGGATTTATTGATCCCTATCACATCTGATCTATCCATAGTAATGTAAGATCCTATTTTATCACCAAAGCTCCTAGCATTATCTTCATTACTTCTACCCCTAAAAGGTAAATCATATACACGTACCCAAAAAGGCACTAGGTGCAAGGGAATTTCAGAGGGTTTCGTATTACCTTTGGCGTCATCTGGAATCATGACATGATGATCAAAATGCCAAGGTTGCAATTCCATAACGAACTGTTTGTCCTTCCAATGATGAAACTGGAAAAAGAAGAGTTTATCTCCAATCACGTTCGCCTCGCATCCATGCTTAGGGTTCCATATTTTCTTTAACGTGTTTATTAGGGCATTAGAGTTGACATTACGAGACGTGTAAATCCTCCCAACAACAGCTAATTCAATATGCGCATCTTCTTCTTCGCCTCCTCCGTCCACCCAGTCAACACTAGGCGGGTCTATATTAAGGTCTAAATCATCGCTACTTTCTTTTTCGAGACTTGCCATGGCTGAGGGTAGCAAGACCACAATTGTGATTGAAATAAGAAGGAATATAAGGAATAATAGAAAAATAGAATTGATCAACCTTCGAGTATGAAGCAAGAACTAGCAGTAGCTAGATGGAAACCCTCCCAAGAGAAAACCCTAGAGGGAACTTGAATTATTACTGATTACTTATTAAGGAGTATTGACATAAGTTGGGAAACATTTGCTTGATGTCACATAATTAAATTAATTAGTCACCCTTCAAAAAAAAAACATGGCCTGCTATTGAATTTGTCATTCATGGGTTTACATGTTGAATCTTTGATCTCATACTTTGATAAAAGTTTGGGCTATCAGGCCCAACAGCCCATCCGGTATGGGTTATACGCTTGAGTTCAAATTTTATTGACCATTACCATTTTTATGATTGTACATTCATTACTAATAATATTTTAACTTATTATTATGTCTCTTTTAAGATTCAACTAATGACCTTTCCTTCAAAAGAAAAAATAAGGATTCCACTAATGACCTATTATCTTAGCTTTGTTTTCGTAAGTTATCCAAGCGATTAGATTGCAAGCTTTAACGAGCAAACTATAGTTTATCTAGCTGATACAAAAAAAAAAAAACATTTATCAAATGAAAATTTCGTAAATAAATCGATTAATTATGTCATTCAGGATGATATTTTCATAATAAAATCAACAAGAGTAAGATCTACAAATAATAAAAAATTGTTGATTGATTTACGAATTTCTCTCTTGATATACATTTTTTGTTTATCAAACTAGATAAAGTTGGACTTTCTCAAGTATTCCCACGAACTGAAACTACGTATCAGAAGTAGTGGGTTTGTAAGGGACTCTTAAGACTCTAGGTGACATCATCAAATTTTGATTATGTGGTCTTAAGACAAGACTTTTTTTTTTATGCATTTATGTGGCTTGGTCTTAACAAAATCTCAAGTGGAGTCTTGATAATTCAAGATTCAACTTAAGACTCAACTTAACACTTCTACATTGTGTTTTTAACTATATACACATCAAAACATAGTGTTTTGATTAAAATAAATTAATTAACTTTTTTATATAAAAACATTAATTATTTGATTTATATATAAAAAAAAAAATTGTAAATATACGTTGTATTTTTTTTTCTTTTGGAAAACAAAGTATATATATGCATCCAGCTGCAGGAAGACTCACCAGAAAATATCATTAATTGCAACATGATTTGGTTGAACATTTGTGGAGTCGTTTTGGAGGAAGTGATATTTGAATTCAGATCAATTTTACATTAGTCAATTTTACTTTACATTACAACTATTTTAATGCAATATGTTTTTTTTTATTTTTTTTTTATAATTTTTCATGTATTTTAAAATCTTTTAATTTCATGTAATTCCATTATAATTTATTTTTATGCATCATCTATATTGCATTATTGTATGATGTGAATTTTAATATTATAATATAATATGTTAAAGGGGAAAAAAAAAGTTTTAAAGAAATCTAGAATGAGTCTTAGGGATGAAGAGGTAAATTTGATTGAGTCTTAAGAAGTCTTAGTATAATTTTAAATTAAAAAAAAATAATTAAATTTAAGTTAATTATTGATGTGGCAATAGATTTAAGTTTTAAGATAAGACTGCGCTAATCTTCACTACTAAAATTGTACCATTCACACTGCCAAAAATAAATAAAAATTAACTAGTAAAAATAAATCAATAATAATGAACTCCTAGTAAGCAAGCAAAAGAAGTCAAAAGTTACCGGTATAACTTTACTGTTATACAAAGAAGAAAAAAGAAAATGGAGGAATTTCTTTAGCCACTTGCTGATATGATGATGTCTTCCAACAACAATATCAATATCTATCCAAACATCCTCACTTCATAACTCTTCACCACCCAAAACAGAGTTAATAAAAACAGAGTACTAAGATTAATTCTGAATCAAAAACAGATCTAAAAAGCCCCAAAAACAAAAACAAAAATATGGAAGATTTGATAGCTCAATTTAGCTTCTTATCAAACCAAGCACTCCAAGATAAGAGCTTTGATCCTTCAAACATTGAAGATTTAATGAAATTGTTCGAAATCGAGGCCTATAAATCATGGGCAGCAATGGAGTTAGAGTGTAACAGAGAAGAAGAAAGCGCGGAAGAAGCCATGGAAGAAGCAGAGGCGGATCTAAATTCAGCAATGGAAAGTGCCATGGAAGAGTTTAGAAGGTTTGAAGAAGAAATGGAAACTGAAGCAATGGCTGAATATTATAGCTTGTTAAATTTAGGTGAAGCTTCTAGAAGGATGGGTAAAACTATTGAAACTGCTGCTTATGTTGCTTCTAAGAAATATATTGAAGGTGCTCTTAATTCTGCTACTAATTCTATGAAATCTGCTTGGAAAGGGATTTCTTCTCATAAAGTTCATCCTTCTTAATTAGATTAGATTGATCATCATTTTCTATCAGTGTTATTTATGTTTTAATCTTATTTTTAATTATTGTATGTAATAGTATGTATGATGATTAGTCAAGTGTTTTATGCTTGAATTCAATAAGATCAAATCAAACTATGTATCTTCATCACTATCTAGATTAAACTATGTAATTTTACGCTTCATCCTTGTAATTTCGGACTTTTTGGTGTGGTAATTCGGATCTATGATTAGCTCCCGTTTACATCATTTAGATTGTAGTCAGTATGTGAGCAAATTCATTTGATAGATGTCAATTTAGTTGTGAATTGTACTCATCATGTGAATAAATAAAAAAAAATTAATTAAAAAAACAGTCAAGAAAGTCATTCATCATTCTCCCAATGTAAGTGGAACAATACTTCTATTTGGCTAAGAGTGAAGATAAGATCTAAACTAATTAGGTGTTTGTGGGGTTTACTCCAATAAACTACAAACAACGAGCCAACGACGTGGGTATCAGATCATATGGATCAATAATTACTCCCCAACTTGTGTTACTCCCTCGGTATCTACTAAGTGTTACACTTTTTTTTTGGCAAAAAACTACCTTTAAATATTATATATCTCTCCTTTCATGGTCTCCATACAAATCCACTATTACTTTTTTTTTATTATATACTTCTTCTCACATTCATTACTTTTCAATAAACTATTAACCCCACTATCTTTATTTTACAATTTTTTAATACTCCAACTACCCCACTTACCTCTTATTTTATTTAAGTCAATTAAATTGTCTAAAACTATATGTTGGACAAACTGTAACATTTATTAAAACACGGAGAGAGTAATGTACATGCAAAAAATTGCTAAAAAAACCCTAATTTTTGTTGGATTGTTCAAGCCTACCTTCCCCAAAGTTGGCTTAAAAGAGTTGAAATTGTTGACCATATTTTTTTCAAGAAAGGGCCTAATCTTATGGAAATTTGGATATCAATCAAAAACTTCAAAGCCGTTTGGATTGCACAAAAGCCCATACTCCTAATTACTATGTATAATAAGTACCGATAATTATAGGCGACAATGCCAAGTGTTATTGAGATTATATTGACTAATTTTACCCAATTCACAAAGTCAAATCTTGATAATTTTTGTTTTAATAAAAAAGAAAAAAATTCTTCTCATGGGACTTAATGCTTCGTATCGCATTATAGATAGAACTTCTGGTATCTTATGTGGGTTAGTGACGCATGTTCTTTGCACTGTTAAGGTTAAATGAATTTCAAAACAACGTACAAGGTCAAATATCACCATTGTGTAAATCTACGTTATGCATGTACTTTTAAAGAACTAAATGTCACATGTTTGAGGTCGGGAAGCTTCATTAACAAGGATCATGTATAAATCAGTTCATGCACTTAGATTTTTCAAACATTATCGAGGTTGCATTATGTGATTAATATAAAAATGAATAATTGCACATAGGTATTTGGTCAAGCACATTTTGTGCGCATAATAAGACTATAATTTATTCCCTCTGTTTTTTTTTTTTTTTCCTTCCAAATATGCTTTATTTACAATATACAAATAGATAAAGTGATGAAAAACTAAAGTTTGAAGATGGACCAGCATTTCAAGAATAATGCTCCTCCCAATAATGAGTATTATTGTATTGAAAAATTAGCATAATTTTAGATATCTTTTTCCCATAATGTGGTCCATGATCGGTTGTACGTGGCAAGTGGTCATTGGCCAAAATTAAATAATTACTGTGCATGAAAGGATCTATACCATTGAATTTAACACCGGCCCTGAAAGTATCTTCATGGATCGGCATAATTTTAAAGGTAGAATTTCCACAATCTAAGTAAAGCCATGACAAAGCCGTGTATTAATTAATTAGTAGTAGCATTTCAAAGCTTTAAATAATTATTAGCTACATAGAGTTACCTACTTGAGCAAGACAAGCGTGACAACACGCGATTTCTTATACATTTGACTATGTAAAATTTTCATATATATATGATTTATAGACTTATTATTTGGTACGAATGAGCTATAAGAGAACACACATTGAGGAGGATATATCATCCTCCCTTCACTCTCTCTCCTCCAAAGTAGTATCCTCCTTGATGTAAAAATGTAAGAGAGGATACTACTTTAAAGAGGAATGCAATATATCCTCTTTAGAGAGAGGATATTAAATATTTGGAAGAGGATATGTTAGTGGATCAAAACTCATCATTTAATATTTTTTTTTGCCTTTCTATTCACTGAAACGATGAGTTTTTGTAGAAAAAAAAAAACAAAAACATAACCAACCACTTGATGCAAAGGTTCCACAAAAGCATGTAGCTATATTTTTACTATCATTATTTATTTTTTATTTTTTTAATCAATATTGTCATCGTTTTTTTAATTATTGTCAGTGTATTGTTCTAATTAACAACATTAGATAAAATTCGTTTTTATTATTGTCAATGTTAGAATTTGTTAGTGTAATTGTTAGTTAATTATTATCAATGCTATATTTTTTTTTTTGGTGAATTATCAATGTTATATGTTTAACAAAATTGTAATGTTTTTAGGTTATTTTCAACAACATTACTAAATTATCTTTGTGTTGATCAGTTATTTAATGCAAATTTTACCTTTATAATATAATTTATTTAAAGTTTACAACTCGATTTATTTTATCAATATTAATAAAAAAACAATTAATTAGGCTAATTTATTTTTCAATCACTTGAAATTATAATTATTCCAAAATTAAATGTTTTGTTAAGAAAGATAATATGTGGTGGGGTATATAAAGTATGAGTGAGGAAAGGAGAGAGGATCCTCTTTGATGTGTGGAAAAATAAAGAAATAGAAAGAGGAAGAGGAAGGAGATAGTGGGAAATGATGTGCAAGAAAGAGAATATAATGTGTTAAAAGGAGAAAGACAGAAAGAGTAGAAGAGAGGATATAAGTATCCTCTCCAATAATCTTGCTCTAAAGAGTGGAAATTCAAACATGTAACATATATATTGATTATAGATCTTTGCTACTAAGTCTTATCACATACAAAGACCAAACAAAGGCATGCGATGTGACATGCTACACTTCTATTCATGTGCCATCTTAGTCAATTAGCTACCCTTTGTTTCATCCACTTACTAACAAAACACATATGGCTCAAGCTAAGATAGATTCAAAAAGGATGTAATAGTTTATGTCTGTTGAGAACACTGCTGCGTAATTGGATTTGTTATACGAAGTATATGATTGAAGATGGAAATCTAAGATCATTATTACAATGACGGGATACTAACTAATACAACCGCTAGATCAATGTATGTCTTATTTAACTTGTCTAAAATCTATCATTTATTCTAAAAGTTGTGGACATGTGTCACCCATATCCCTTACTAGATCCACCTATGCACATGAGTGACATGACCTATCAAGTGAAAGTCATGTATATGCACCAAATAAATAAAGTCATATTGCTAGATCCATGTAGTATGCACTACCAGAAATTATGACTATTACTCCATAAAATATATAAAAAGAGTGTCTGGAGAATTGGAGTAGGATCACAACAAGATTGTTTGGTAGTTACCTCATGAAAATGACAACAGCAAATTAAAGTGACCAACCCAATTATACTAATGCACCTCAATTATTGAAATTTGAAATGAATGATATGATATGGTAAACATCTACTCCATAGCAATTTCTAGCTTTGTGCTGATTAATTCCATTAGTGCATCTCATCCACGAATTTTGAAGTGAGCGTGGGACATTCCTCCTAAACCCAATTCAACACTTAGCAAACAGTTATTCGTATACTTATTATTTATAACTTAATTAATTATGCACCTCCAATCAAACAACATTAATTAACTTTACTTTTTTCTTTTTTTTTTTAGCTATTATCATATCAAAAGGTACTCACTCTGTTTCATAAACATATTTCAATTTACCGAGGGAGTATCAAGTAAGCTATTATATTTTCATAAACATATTCCAATTTACGGAGGGAGTATCAAGTAAGCTATTATATCACTAGAAGCAACTCCCCTACTTTTTGTTGTATATAAAAGCATCTCCCCCGTTCTAACATAACCTCTCTTCTTCACTCTAGAACCTCTTTACTTTTTCCAGAACAATCAATTCCATCCATTTATTTTCTTCCACAAAACTTTTCAGAAAAAATAGCTTATTTATTACCACAAAAAAAAAAATATCATTCAAAACCTTATATTACAAAATAAACCATAGTTCATACTTCATATATATTCCTAAGAGTTTGAATTATAAAAATTATAACATATAGTTTTTATTATTATGGCAAGATATCAAAACTCCTACACACAATATTTGTCACCTCCACCAGTGCAACTATGTTTTTTATTCATAGTTGTATTTTTCTTTCTAGGTTTTTCATGGTACATAAACTATGAATCAGTATGGGAAGATTTAATGGATCAGGTGAAGCTAATCCTCATGGTATTCCCTGTACTTCTTCTCTTAGCCGTCCATTGGCTATCGAGCTACGAAGATCGACGTTTGTTGATCCCTTTGCCTGAACAAGACTCCATCCATAGAGCTGGTGGTTCCCCTTGGGGTGTAGGAATTCTTCTTGTGTTTCTTATGTTTATGATTTCTTATCATACTTCTATTAGGGAAAGCTGGTGGCCCTTGCTTAGCAGATGATTATCTTCATCATCATCATAATCATGATGAGTAAATTAAGTAATTAATTAGTGTATAATTGTTGTGTATGTATGTAGTTTTATCTTTTTCGTATTATAATATAAAGTTTTCCCCTTTATTATGTCCTTTAATTAAGGCTTTTGTTATGTTTATTTAATAAGAGTAATATAGTTTAGTAAGTGATGTATAACTTGTTTAATTTGTGTATGTGGTGAGTAGGAGGATAAAAAGTAAAGTTTGTTTTGATAGGGTTAATCGAGTTGTTGTACAAAATTAAATAGTGAAATCATGGCTCTTAATTATTGTCTGTTATAAGTCTTATATATGTGTATGAATAAACTTGTTAAAACTTTGTACCTTGTTACTAATTTATAATATCTAATTGTATGAATAAATTATATTATGCAAATCGAAATACATACATACTCATAAATATTTATTTCAATTTTCTTACTATATATATTGATATATACGAAGTACAATTATTCTATTAGATAGTGATTGCTATATACACAGTATTTTGTATTTGTTTATGCTATATACACAATTTTAATATCGGTGTTTTATTGGCACATAAAACCGCCTCTTGCATTACTAATGCAGGTTGATTTCAATTATGTTTCAACAATCTCGCTCTCAACAAGTTTGAGAGTGTATAAAGCCGAAATATGAAGACTACAGCCAATTGGCAATTGTAATCATTAATTAATTATTAGTTGTTCCTGAGCAGAATACTTAACCCCTAAGAATGGAATGGGGTGATCAAAAGTATACTGATTCTTTACAGCACTCAGGAGAAAAGCTCCATTATTTGGGTTTTTTTTTAGCATTTTCCAAGGAGGAAGGTCAAGCTGGGACCAAAAAGTGGGAGTGGAGAAATGAGGCAATCTAAAAAAGGTAAAAGCTAGGATCAAAACTGTTTTGTTTTGTGTAAACCTATCTTCATAATACAGTATCTCCAACTTTATTTTTACATTACATAAGTATGGTCTTTGCAACTTCAGGGGGGCCAAATAAAAAATTTAAATCCAGTTCTAATTTGGGCCCATAGCAGAGTTGTAGTTGTAAAGCAATTGATCCCAAAGTTCCTGAACAAAATAAGCATGGCTGCATGATACATCTTAACAGCCCTTTGTATTCCGTCTGGCTTGGTTCGCGATTCAGGGAAACCTAATCAAAGCACAAATACTTAACATTTGTAATTTAGGAGGAGAGTTCTTGGGATGTTTCTCTTAGGCCATTGTAACAACTTTACAAGCTTGTTCCATCATACCACGCTTTCTATGACCCTTCGTATATTGATATACAAAGTCGTGTATTGGCAAGCATTTCCAGTCAAAACATTGCAAGTAATTTTGGTGAGTTAAGGAAGTATAATAAGTACAATAAAACGCAAAGCCAGCTAGCTAATAAAGGGCTGCAATATTTTGGGTTAGCCATTTTGTGTTGTGGACTGCAAGGAGAATAAGGGTTTCTGGAGCTTCTAGAATTTCAGGGCCTGATCTTGTAGAATTAGGTGGGCCAAGGTACTTGAGCAGCAAGTTGTCAAACTATGGGCCTTAAATGTTGTATCACTTGTGTGTGAAAGTGTCCAACTCTTCCTTTTTTTTTTTATTTGTTTAAATCCGTAATATAGGTCTCAAAACCCCACATAGGTCAACCTATCGATATAACGATTAGGCCTTCCTAATGTATTTGACTTGGAGTAATATATCGTAATAGACAATTTTTTGTAATATCAATTGTAGAGGATCCAATGAAATGATTTAATAATTAAACAGCTTAGATTGTGTAATTGATGAGCTGCCAACCCTGCCATAGGATTGTTTCTATGTCCCTCAAACACCAGTATTTTATGTCTATATAATGGTAAGTTGGTAACTATGACTTGTACCTATATTATTTTGTATTAAAATTATTCATGCACTATAATTTTGACATAACAGATAAAAGGATAAGACCAAATAACGCAACTCCAATAATATACTAGAATGAGTTGTATTTTTCGCATTTTATATTAGTTATGATATGAGGTTATTTACTTATTTGTGTTAAGAAGTAAGACAGTCTGATATAAATGTTGTTCATAAATGCATTACAGTATATGCTAATATTCAACTGTGAAAGAGACGTTAATAACATTAAGTAGTCAATTTATCAATTACGTAGAAATGGAGTCGTGAGATTTTGAACACTAAATGTTGTTTATAAACTTGTAAACAATACTGTACATGTCCCAAATATTGGACAAGGTGTCCGCAATTATAGGCACAATTTAGACAATAATGTGTGTTGGTCCTTTTCATCATGCCATATGGAGCTGCGCCTAACTTATGCATAATTATATAACATGACCAAATTCTATTTTCATCAATTCAACTTACATTTAAATAATAAAGTAGTACAAGTAACTATATAATGTCATTATCACTCACCTTATAATTTATTCCTATCTACACTTTACAATTGAGAAAATGATGTACAACTAGATACTTTTCTATTCCCTCTCCTTGCGCAGCTTTCATTTTCGTTTGTATAGGATTTCAGGATCAAATAATCCAGCATTGATAGAAAAGACTATATATTAGTAAAATAATATATAGGAAGAGCCGGAGAATGATCTCTTCGACCAGTGGCCAGAGATCACCTCCATCCTTGAGTTGCGATATAGGAAGAGCCAATGTATAAACCCTACTGAACCAGCACCTCTCACAGGTTTAGTCAGTCCAATTCCGCAGGTCAACGTTTAAGAGGGGGAAGGTAAGGGAATCCCCTACTCCCAAACAATTTGTTTGTAATTAGTGGGGCTCAAACTTGTGACCTCAAAGTCATAAGGTGAGTTCCCCACCAACTCCACCAAGCTTTGCTTGATATTTTAACATACCAAATAAACGATCATAAATGTCACGGTCTCAGTAGAAGTATACCAGAGTAACCAAAACTGATAGGTTAAGAAAGAATTTGTGAGAATTGGCACTAAGTGACATGTGCATAAACTACAAAAGCCACCTACGTTGAAAGCTGAATATCAAAATCTAGCATGTTACCAAGTCCAAATCCTTTCCTACCACCCCTTATCATCCGCCTTCACATATGCTCTCTCGCTTTAGTCTATTTTCATTCTTTAAGACCAACAAGTTAAACAAACTTTCCAGCTTTAACCTACCAAAAACATATAAATAATGACAATATTAAGATGGATTCAGAATTTACAAAAGGAGCATAAATTCCTTTTTCCAGCTTATGTCCAACTCATATCTATATTTCCCCCTCCAATTACGTATTCACATTTCCGGTCGATATAACTGTCTTGTGTAGAATTATTGAGAATCATCAACATACTTTGAAAATTAGGTAATCGCGGAGATAATATAGAGAAAATCATAGGTGATGTTTTAGATATTATATACTCGTACAGTACTCTATAGTCCATATGTAATTCTCACCACAAAGATAGATGAACTTCCAGATGAAAATAAAATAATTAATAACAATATACTTCGTATAAATTATCGACATTAATTATTGAGTATTTGACTAGTGATTAATACGAAATATGGGAGGGAAAATCATATAAAATTTGAACAATAATAAGAATGAAAGAATATGATACAAAATGAAGTTGGATGTACTGTCTGACTTTACTTTTGCTGTGTCACTACACACCATAACCCATGCCCCCCATGTTCATGTTACATATTGAACATATACTTCAATTTTCCATACCAAACCCATGTGTGGTTTTACATTCTTTAACCACCACCATTTTCAACTAAAAAACAACTACCCACCCCTAAAAAAATGTTGTTAGCTCACATGATCTGAATGGGAAATTAGAAACCAAAAATAAGAAAGAATGACACCAATAAATACAATTTCACTGACTCTTTCAATCTTGTGAGCCGCGAGGTTTAAAGACGGAGTTACCTTCAGCTTTTTAGCTCTGATGAGAAATTTCTGTTCAGGTTTTTAGCATTGATCATCGACAGTCCATTGAGTCGAATGAGTCTGCAAACCCTGAGGGTTTGGATGGAATGCTGTTCTGTGTCCTGCTGAATGACATATCGCTGACCATTGTTGAAGTGCCCTCATTGGCTTGCCATCTTTGTAAAGCTTGGGGGAGACTCATGTGTAGGTCAATGCCATATGAATCATCTTCCTCTTGGCTCGAAGGTTTCCACTGCTCAACAAGTGGGCCCAACACGTTTACGGCATGTCCCATGTCGGGTCTCTGATGTGGTTCACGGGCTGTGCAGTGACCTGCCAACTCAGCAATCCTACAAATGCTCTCAAAGGTTTCATCATCGGGGTCAAGGATGGCATCAATTGACTTTCGGATGTTGTCCTTGTTGATCAAGATTCTGCGGAACCATGTCACTAAATGGGATCTCTCGTCTGGCATTGTCTCATCAAGGGCTTTTCTACCAGTGATAAGCTCCATCAATATAACACCAAATGCATAGACATCAATTTTGGTGGTCACTCTCCCAGTAACTGTTGGAGAAAATAAGAGCAGAACATGTTAGTATTTATTTCAGAGCATAGATGGGTCTACCAAAATGCAAACATCAAGTTGACAATCACTCCAATGTAAGCTAATTATGTTAGAGAACCTATCAAGCCTACAGCCCTACATTTTCAAACTCTGTTGAAAAAGATAGATGATCAGAAATTACATGGGGGTCCTCAAATTTGAACTTATAGAAAACTGGTATCAAAGCATGACCACATGAGTAGTATGATTATACAAGAACATACTTAGACTAATAGAGTATTACACACAAGGCACTAAGGCAGTCACTGTAGAGTAATCAAGTTAAGCTGTTCCAACAATCCTACAGTGCATCATATGAACTTCGCCTTAATGCATTTCTAACATTTGTAACATCTCTAAGCACATTTGCAATTAAAAAAAGTAGAGTGCAGCAAAATAAGATTTAAATGTAACAGGCATCTGCCAGTCAGAACTCAGGTCTAGACCATTATGAGAGTGCTCAGGTAACTTGGCAGCCAACAAATACAATGAATTTCACCCCCAAAAACATAACTTAAATTATTAGGCCCTCTTCATTTAAGTCAATAAGTGAGGCACATACTCGAACACATGTTCTAAAAACACACGGCAAATACAAGTATGTTTTTTTCTTGTAAATGGATTGTATGAGTCTAACTGGGGGTCAAAATGAAGTTTTACCCCTTCAATAACAAATAATATATTCTGATAGACCTTTGTTCTGGAATTGCAATAACCAGCTACTACTCCACAATAAGAAAGAAAGAACAAATAAAGAAAGATTCACAGTTCAAATGTTCAATGAGACACTGTGATTTATTCACAAACTTCAAGGCACAGGTAAATATGTGCAGCTTATCATCATATAAGTTTTACTGAGCCTATGTTGATTAACAAATGTACCAAAATTTGCAGTATCATTATATGAACGAACAAACCACAAAACTAAGGAGATAAAATTAAAATCAATACGATATTTTGCAACTTCTCACCAATACATCGTGCTATTTTCACATGTTTACAGAGTTCACACTTAAGGCACATGATATCCCCACCAATCACAGTTTATAATTTAAAATAGATAGCAATAAATTAAATATAAACATGTGGGTTAGATATTCATGTTGGTGACTTTACTCCTAACATCCACCCACAAACTAAGTAGCCTAAAGCCCTAAACATTAGTTTGATTAGTTTCCAATCAACATACAAATGGAATCAAAAATTCCCACAAATAAATTAAAAGAGTTCGAATTAGACAAACAAAAAGAGATTATTAACAGACCTAGCAAAATAGAGAGCATGCCATACAATAGTAAATTAAAATAATCCTACACATATTTTTGCATCACAGTTAATACTAGTATATGAACTTTCCAGAATCTACTCTCATTAAAAATATGCTTCCCAAGCAAGAGAAAGAAACTCACGAAGAATTCAAATTCATGAAATACAGAGTAGTATATCTCATTAGAGCCAATATTAAAATAGCAAGACATAGGGAAGTATCACCAAGAATATCTGAACAGATGCTTACCAGCATATTCAGGTGCAAGGTAGCCGAATGTTCCAGCCAATCGAGTCTCCACTGAATATTTTCCATCAGGAGCATTCTTTACCAAACCGAAATCTGCAACCTTGGCCCTCATGTCATCTCCCAGCAAGATGTTAGAAGGTTTCAAATCTCTGTGAATGAAACTTGTTTGCGCTAAACTATGTAGATACTCAACTCCCCTGGCCACATCCAAAGCTATGGAGACTCTCTGCTTCCAAGTAAGAGGGGGATATCCAAGCTCTTGCCACTCAAACAAATGTTGTCCGAGGTGCCCTTGTGGCATGTACTCGTATACCAAAAGCCTCTCGTGCCCATTGGTGCAGAAACCTAAAAGGGCAACCAAATGCCTGTGCCTAACTTTTGTAAGGACTGCAATTTCAGCTTGAAACTCACTCATCCCTTTGGTGCCCATAGCTGTAGCTTCCATCCTCTTAACGGCAATCTTAGTCCCATCATGGAGCTCCCCTTTGTAAACAACCCCAAATCCTCCACGTCCCAGTATATTATCCTCACTAAAATTGTTTGTAACCTGCCGAAGGACTTGAATTGAGATGGCAACATTCCCGCCTTCAAACACAGGGAAATCACCATGATCACCACTGCTGTGGCTCTGCAACTCACTTGGAACACCAGCATAACCATTTGTTGTCCCCACTACACTGGTCTTCACCATCTCATTATCTCCAGCTTCGGGATTCTGAACCTTCCCAAACTTCCTGTGCTTCTTCTTCATATAACACTTGTACAACACAAACATTACAACTACAACAAAAACAACAACCGCAATCACCACACTTTTCACCATACCAGCAGAAACCGATGAACCCTTCGACCCCACACCCGAGCCAGAAGAGGAGCTACCCCCAGAACCCGGAGAACCAGGTGGAGCAACATCCTTCCCAATATTCTTATTCCCAGAAGTGAGCAAATTCACCCCAAGACTAAACCTCGGAACTTTCCCACTAATGTCATTATTTGTCAAATCAATCTTCTTAAGCTTGGGCAAGGAAGCTAAAGAGGCAGGGATAGTGCCAGTCAAATTATTATTACTCAAATCCAAATCCGTCAATGACGTCAAATTCGCAAATGCCGGGGAAATGGTGCCCGAAAACCCCTGCTTCGCAAAATAAACAGAAACTACACGGTGGCTAGGATCACAGGACACAAAAATCCAGCTATTACAAGCATCATTACCAATCCAAGCATCAGCCAACTTAATTGGATACCCTAAAGCCCCAGCAACTTGGAGCAAAGCAGTAACCTGAGGATCACAATCCCCAGTAACATTCCTACAAAAATGGTTATTACCCAACTCTACTACTTTAACAGTCTTAGGAAAATCAGGAAGCGGCCCTTGAATATTGTTATTATTAATAGTAAAATTCTCCAATTTAGGCAAACTAACAATTGAAGGTGGAAGAATCCCAGTAAACTTATTATCCCTAAGTTGAAGATCAAATATCTGAGTACAAGCAGATAAATCAGGAATTGAACCAGTAAATGAATTTGCATGAAGCCATACCTGAGCTAACTGGGTCATACCCGAAACAACATCAATCGGACCCGATAACAACCCATCAACCTGATTATTAACCCAGAAATTCTGAATTGAAGACCCGTTTAACGACCCGGGTAAAGACCCACTCAAATTATTGTAGCTCAATCTCAAATTCTGCAACCCGGGAAACGACCCGAATATGTCTGGAATCGGGCCTTCCATTTTCGCATTATTAACATAGAAACTAGCCAAGCTTGAAGAATCAGTGAGTTCGGAAGGAAATTGCCATGGCGCAAGGTCTTCATTAAAGGAAAGAGAGAGAGTTTGAAGTGAACTCAACCCAGAAAAAGCACCAGATGGGATTGAAGTAAAATTATTATTGTCAAGAAAAACAGTTTGAAGAAGAGAGAGATTAGCTAAAGAAGGTAAAGGGCCAATGAATTCATTGTTTTGAAGAGAAAGAGTGGTGAGTTGAGAGAGGGTATTAATGGAAGAAGGAAGTGTAGTTTTGAGAGATTGAGAAGCAAGATTAATGGAGGTAACCCTGTCTCCATTATCACAGTTTACACCCTTCCATTTGCAGAAATCTGTGGAAGAATCCCACCCAGAAGGAGGAGATGATCCGAAGGATTTCAAGAAGTCATCCATGGCGGATTTGTCATCAGCAGAGGAGAGAGAAAGAAGGAGGAAGAAGAAGATGAAGAGGGTAGTTGTGGATGTTTTCGCCATTGAAGGGGGCGCAAAAATGGAGGAGAGAGAGAGAGAGAGAAAATGTGGGTAATCTTGGTATTAATGGTGGGGTTTGTGAAGGAAGAAAAGAAAGTGAGTTGGAATTTGGATTTTTAGGGTGGACAGCTCTTTGAATAATAGAAGACGCGTAATTAAAAAATTAAAACAAATTTTGTTTAATTATTTTGTGTTTCTGGAAATTTGGGATTCCTTTAATTAGAAGTTGTTGCTGGAATTGAGTCAATGAGGGTATCTTCAATTCTTCATTTGCATCTACCATGACTCCATGACCAAATTTTTTTTTACCAGGCGCCTAGAATTTTTATCGTCGAAAAGGTAAAAGGCGAGAACTATATTATCGGTTTTCTATAAATTAGCAATTTTTTACCTGAGATTTTCTTTCTGAAAAGGAAGTTGAAAAATGAGAACTCTGTTCATCTCTGGAAATTAGTTATGTGCGTAAAAAAATGAATGTCAACCGAGATATTTGCTTTAGAGTTCCAGCAAATGTCAGTACTTATACGAATTATTCACTTTTATTTGCAATCAAACACATTATGTGATAAGTTTAAAAAAAATAAGAGATTAATGACACGTGTCTTGTAGTGTAAGAAAGAGATATAAAGAAATTGCATGTAAAAATCAAATGAATGAATGATATATAGCTATTATAAATGTTTCTAAAGTAAAATGGTTGAACCCAAAAAAAAAAAAAAAAAAAAAAAAAAAAAAAAAAAAGTGTAAAATGGTTGAAGATATTAAAATGCATTACAAGTAAAATAAAAATGTAGAAATGCACTTTTAACCCTAATATAAGAGCAAAATAATCATTCTATAGATTTATATCGTTGAAGATTCTTATAATCACGAGATACTTTAAAATCTATAGATCAATATGATGATCACCTTCTTTGAGTTCTTTTTTTCATTTGTAATACATTTGATAAGGTTATACAGATCACAAAGTACCAATTTTATTTATGCTTGTATCTTTTTTTGACAAGTATTTATGCTTGTGAATATTATCCATATTTGCTTTTGGGGATTGCACAAATAAAAAAGGCATAAGCACTACTTCAAAAAAAAGTTGGGCATAATATTATGATAGGTTCACAACTCATTGCAAGAAAAAAAAAAGGGTAGGCTATGAAAAACAAACAAAATGGTCCCAATTCCCACTCTCATATTCAACATTTTGCAATTTAGAGTATTCATTTGAATTATAAATCATATTCGCAAGGTAGAAACTAAGAATGTCTTTTAATGGATTTGGGTATAAATAAGAAAAGAAGAAAATTGTACGATATTGTATCACTAAAATAATAATACTCCGTATTGTTAATCTTAATATTCGTACCTTCTTTTTTTTGGCAAAATGAGATAGTGTCTTAATAATTTATTATTTGAAGTTTTTGACGAGAATTACTCCAATGAAATTAAGGTCATATTTTTTTATTTCTAAATTACCTTTTGTGTTATGCACTAACTTATTCATTATTATCAATCATCCGATATAAGGTACGGAGTATTAGCTATCAATTTTTCAAAATTAACATATCATTTTCATTTCTATCCAATATCCATAATCTACTCTTTCAAGGAAAGAAATTATTTGGACAAATCCTAGAATATATGTGGGTCAAATTAGTCCAAGAACGAAGTTCATGGGCTGGGTTTGGAATACTATGGGGCCCACACTAAAAAAATGGGATTTTTCACATATTTGGGTTCGAAGATAATGACTAATAATAAAATAAGGCGTAATTGGTGTAATTATATTTTTTAGAATTGTTAAAAAAATAAATAGATAAAGGCGGTTTAGAAAAAGACAGTTGTTTATTTTTGCTTATTGCTCCAAATCCAGCGATGGGTGACATTAATTGAATGATTAGATTGAACGCAAGAGAATTATCCCCATCCAACTCAATTATTCTTTCCCTTTTTTCTGGATAACAAGAATACAACTTTTTCTAATTGTTCCATCAACTGCTCCTATTATTTGTCTACTTGAAAATCATATCCGGTATACTGTATCTGATTGGCAAACACGTTTTATGACATTTTTGTAAATAATAATGTCAACTTTTAATTTATTTGTCTTACTGTTAGGTACTTCTATCGCCATTAACTACATATGTAAGATACTTTAAAAATGTAATGGTATTATAAAACTTTTTAATTGTACACACAATTATTTTAAAAATGGTACAAATCACGATATGCCAGCGTGAGATATAATAGTACTAATGAGGCAAATAATACTCTAATGGTAACTTATAATGTTGTATTGTTACACAAAAAAGATGCCATGCTTTTAAAATTTAACTCATAAAACTCTCATGAAATGACCGAGTCTAATATATTTTCGAGTATTGTTTCAAAATGCCTTATACATGAACTTGCTTAGCTATTATACACTATCAGCTATACATCTCATATAAACATGTGACGAAACTATCATGCTCATTAAGTAGCTTTCTCGTGTAAAACACAAGATGTAATGCAAAATTCTGTTAGCATGATAAACCATTCCACCCTTTGATGTCATGTATGGTCCTCGTGTCCCCTTGTTAATTTTGTAACAATGAAAGAAGAAAAACACATGCCCATATCATATGAATTAATCTACCTTTATACACAAAATTATTGTAACTGGACAATGAATCATTTGATAACAACTTTATAGGACCCATGCACCCATCAACCAATTATCACATCACATAACATTTGATAATGCTTCACTCTAATTAAATAATAAAAAGTTCAATATATATCATATTTAGTTTTCGGGTTTTTCATATCACCGTGTCACGTCATAGCAAAGAAAACATATTACGAAGGATAATTTTACTAGAATAACTTTCATATCAAGTTTTCCAATGTAACCTTTGAGTCAGTAATGTTTTTACAATTACGTACAAGAATCCTTTTTATCACTTATCTACTCTTTAATCCCTTCATCATGCGTAATCTCCTATTATATGTAAATTTCTTAGATCTTTGTTATTTATAAGTCGAAGAAGAATGTAAAATTTTAAAAGCTCGTAGTATTTAATAAAGATAATTAACTTGTACCTTACACGAGCCAAAAACTAGTACTTCCTATGTCTTACATTGAAGTTAGAGTACATGAAGTATTTGTAGTAGGCACTCCATAGTCCATATTTTGAAGAAAAAAGGATATAAAATGGACCGCGGCCCAACTTTCAGAAGTTAGTACAAGTACAGTAGCAGAACAATTAGTCAATTACTATTGTCGCATGAAGTTGAAGGTCCAAATGGCAGCTAATTTTTCTTTTTCTTTCATAGAATTATTATGTGAAAAATGTATCACAATTGATAGGATACAAGGAAGTATGAAACTGAAGAAGAAGGCTTAACAAGTTGACATAATTACATAAATTTTTGTAGGAAATTACATACATATACAAGATCAACAAGAAGAATTCACATACATATGATGAAAGTATATAATTAATTGGCTATATATAACTAAACTTCCGTCGAAAAAGAAAATGTATGATCAACCCTAAAAGTGAATATCCGTAATACATTGCTCCATTGCTGGTTGTGTACTAATGTAGCTAAGGTTAGACACCTGATGGGTAATATGCATCTTTAAATATTAATAGTGTAATAGTATTACGTAGCACAAAATAGACAATATGGCTTAATTATATTCATCACATCTAATTCAAAAATGGTAATACCCTTCCCTAATTTAGAAGAACAATGGTCATAGGACTACTTTTTTTATCGCAACCTTGTGGGGTTTGTGGATAGCAAGGAATAACAGGGTTTTTAGATCCTCAACTCTGTCTGACCTGTCAACGCCAGCGACAATTTCTGAGGGTTTGCGCCAGCAGCGTTTATTCTCCAAGAAACTTAAGGATAGCCTGAGATCTTTACACCCACCAGAAATGGTTGCAGACTACCTGCCAGGGTTTATGCGAGTTGTCCTTCGCGATAGTGGGATGAGTGTGTTGCCTACAGTGATTCTGGTCGATGGTTCTTGACATAAGCACACTCATAGATCAGGGATGGGCTGGTGCATGGAGAATGGTGTTCAAGGGGATCAAGGACTACTACTGGGGGGGAGCTAGTAGCGGTTTGGCTCAATCGGCTCTACATAAGGAGATGAACGCCTGCCTACAAGGTCTTCAATGGGCTGCGACAAGGTCCTTGCCAACAGTAACTATATACACGGACTCTTCGTCTATGATCCTACTACTGCGCGATACACAGGTTAGTGATATTGGTCTTCGTTGGACAGCGGAAAAATTCGACAGTTGAGCACAGGTTTTGATTGGTGTTGTGTCCATAAGGTTCAAGCCCATGACCTAGCTACTATAGCCAGCAGTAGTCTTTCGTCTTTTAATAATTATATGTAATCCGTTTAAGCTTATGTCCAAAAAAAAATAAAAAAAATTAGAAGAACATTGTAAATAATACTATTAGATGGCGACATTGGATATACGAGATTTTGCCCTTAAATAGTCGAAGCTTGTAATAAAGACTACTTTTGAACAAAAATTTGGGCTGTTTTTCACTGTATTATCGCCCAATCCAATCAATTTTGGGTGTGAAGAACCATTACCAATTCAAAATATCAAAGTACAAGTTACTAACTCAAGATCACTAATGATTCATCTCAACCAATTAATGTTTATACTGCTCTCCGTTTCTTCATTTTAGATAAGTTACAAGTAATTTCAGTCTCAGGGACCAACTGCTATTATCTGAAGGAAATCAGAGTATCTGAAGGTCCGTAATGTGATTTTGGCTATTTGCTGTTTAACCATTTAACATTCTAAATTTTCCGTGTTATGTGAGTCAAATATTCGAAAACTTGCAAACAAAAAGGGACTGAGTGACTAACATTTACTATTCTAGTATTATTAGAACCAGTACATGATACAAATTACAAAGCACATAATATCAAGACACTGAAGTTCACTGGTGCATGCTTACACAATTGGCCTTTGTACCAAAACACAGCACTTCAACTTTATAATAGTGAAACTAAATTCCCTCAAAGCGAAATTTGAAGAGCATTACAGTAATGTCTCACCAACAAATTCACCAAATGGAGCAGAACAATGTTGAAATGTTGAGTTCTAAAATCATCAGCTAACCTCATTTTCCTTCAGCATAAAAGACTCTTGCACTGAATATCTCCGTTCATATATACTGAGTACTGACCTTGTCGCGAACCATCCCTATGATATAATGCTTTGCAAGGAAGGCTGATATGAGATCAGAACAAAAATAATGGCCAAAACAACTGCAACACCCCATGGTGAACCACCAGCCCGATGAATGTCACTTGGGTTGGACCCTGGCAAGAGGAAGCTTAGGCAGCTTGACGATGGCATTGTCGAAAGCCAGTGGACTTTAATAATTATCAGAAGAGGAGAGATCACCAGCAAACGCTGCAACAGCTCTGCTGCTGTTACCATCACTGCATCGTAGATTATGTAACCAAATAAACCACATAACAATAGCATTAATGTCATTAGTACCCAATTCTCTGATGCTCCCATGCTTGATCTTAGGGAAAAAGCCATTGTTTCTTATCCTTCTTTTTTTTTTGAGTGGAGTAGAAAATGTAGCCTAGGATATAAAGTATATTACCTCTTCAATTTGTGATGGGATGCATCTCAACTTTTTAAGCAAAAATAGTGACTTGTATGGCTGTTTTTTTGTACAAATGATTCCATTTTCTGGATTGTTCTCTGACTAGTACTGTAAAAAAAACAAATATAGTGGAGATTTATATAGCAACTTAGTACAAATTTATGCATGCATTCCTAATAAAAACAAAGGAAACGCCATGTGACATGCAGTAAATTAATCCAAAAAAAGAACTACAGAATGCAATAAGGAAATTTAAGGGTGACAATGTGACACTCCGTCAAAAGCGGAATAAGTATGGTTCATGTGTTAAAAAAGATAAGGTGAAATATCGCACTAATTTGTACCCGAATAATCCAATACATTTTGTAAAATAACAGGCAACTGCTAATATGCACTAGTATATGAGTTTTCAACTAAGACACGGTAAAATGTTCACAAGTGGCCATTCTTTATACTTAAATGTCCCTTATCTAAACTTATTGTCCCTTCTCTAAGCTAGTCCTAAAGAACAAGCTTAAACACTTACCAACTAAATGAACAAGCTTAAAACACTTCATCATATCATCCAATTCGCTGACTACAGTTTCATTCTTGATTGGCCCATCACTAAACTTATACAAGCTTTTTTTTTTTTTTTTGAAGAAACTTGTACAAGCTTATTTAGTCGCACTTGAATTTATCAGTTCTTTGACAATTAGCAGAGGCTAATGAGCTACAAGTAGCCGATGTAGGAGATAGATTAGCAAGCAATGAGAACAGAACTAGCATCATGATCATGATTAGTTCAAGCCGTGGCTCCCTTGCACCTTCAATCTAGATTAAGAATCTCCTTTTTCTACAGGTACTAATATACTATATAGTATATTAGTTTGGGTGATTTAACATTGGTAAAAAAAAAACTACATATCAAAGCTTTACACAAGCATTTCCTGATATCCACCTAGGAATCAGAGTGATGTAACATTATTTGACATGATAAACAAACTTTAATCATCTAATCATGATACATTATTCCCCTTATGAGTTGTGAATGTCAAATTTGAATTACTTCAAGCTGATAGCAGAGCAGAAAATGAAAAGAGTCAAAACTTGTACCTATGACGATCAACAAATCGTTGACATATTCTATCACATATCATCATATATCTAGCTCTTTAGATACACCCGACGTTTTTTTAAAGCATCATATTCTATAGGCATGTGTACAAAAAGCATATTTTTTTTTCCCATTTTGTTTTGAATATTCATATATCATAGATAACATGCTGCTGATCTCAAATGTGTAACTTATGACATATCTATAGTATCTTTTGTCTAATTTAGGCATCTACTACATCAATTAAGGCTAATAACATTTTTTAATGCAAGTATGCAACTACTTTCAATTAAATTAAAGCTCACAATCAAGAAACTTTATGTATGGTATTAGAAGCAACAATAGATCAAGACATAATTTAACGCATTTTTCTATGAGGCATTTCATCAAACATGTACCGTGCAAGCTTAGTTCAACCTTTCAGATACCACCAGGGCACCAAGCACCAGTCCACCATTGCCAAGGAAAGTTTCAACCTTTAAAATCAAAATTAAAAATTTAATAAATCAAGAAATATAGGAAAGTGAAAATTAAATACTTTTGAAATGACCAAAAAGCCACCACATAAAAAAGAGGCAAACAATTTAAATTCCAAATTTGATAAAACAAAAACCCTAAATCCCAGTTATTCTTGCAAATTAGAGAGAAAATGGAAGTGGGTGCGAAGAGAGAGAACGAGAAGCAGAAGAAGACTGAAAAACCTCCTTATGTCGTTGCCAAAGATGATACCAAGCCTGTTCTTCAAGACCCTGTAAAATTTTCTCTCTTTTTCTTTCTTTCTCTTATGTAGTCGAGATTGGATCTCGGGTCTTGGGTACCACTCTCCAGACTTTATAAAAAATGTTATCAGCCTAACATCTTATTCGTGTAATTGTACTGTAATTTGTAGTTATGGAGTTCAGACCCAACTCAAGCTGAACAAGCAGTGCTGCGGTTGCCACCATTTCCCTTCAGATCAAAATCTCAGCTCAGTTGAGATATTATGCTGATTTGCTCCATTTGTAAGAGCTTTTCTGTGTTTTTTTTGGATTTGTACTTTTGTTGGTTTTTGAACTGATGTACAAGTATATTCATAATAATTACGTTAATGAGTAATTGAATGATGTGCTGATAAAATTATGAAATTCTGTGGTATGAAATGGAAATGTTATCATCTATTAGTATGTTACTGATACCTGGCCTGTTTGATGTTCATTTTGTCAAATTGATACAGCTTATAACATATCGCTCCCTCCATTTCAAATTTATTGCAACATCAGCACAGACATTGGAGTATATCCGATTATACGAACAAATATTGTAGACTTTGAAACTTAAGGATTAGAACCAGTAGTATTAGACATCAACTTAATTACATAGTACAAGTATAACAAATTCATTGCAATTTTACATCATACTGAGTAAAATTCATCTATTTTCCATACAAGGAGTGTTAAACAACTTCAACTAATAAGTTCTGAGATACAAAAAGCATTCCAAACATGCTTAAACCTTCAAGCTTACTTAAATTTCACATTAAAATCCAAAATTCCAAAGATCTCACACTACTTGTGAGTTGTGGCAGTCAAGATGGCAGACTGGAAGAATTTATATTTAATTAATTAATGAGCCTAACAACCAAATTAGTATTGAAATTTAGCCAAATTCTTAACACTCAGTCATTTTTGCAGTTTCGCTATATTAACATACCAAAATATTACCAGATGCTTTTATCAAACCATGTTGCAAACACGATAATTCAACTACAATCAGTTGCCAATGCTGAATTTTTATTACTGTAAAGTCTAATTATCAGGTGCCAATATGAATTCAATGGCTTTGATTAATGTAGTATCTAGTACAAGCCAATAAATGAATTGTACACTACACATAACTTACTATTTCTAATGTGACCCAAATAATAAAGAGTTCACTATATAACACTAGTACATATGAATATATGATACAATGATCAGGAATTGTCTTCAACGATTGGAGAAGCTGCCCTGTCATGGATATTTGTAAACTTGGGTGGCAAAGTCATCACAGGCCCGTCCAAAGAACCCTCGCTCGCCATTGCTAGCGCCAGAGAATAACCTAATGCACGAGCCACGGGAACTGCTACCGCATTACCCACTTGAATATACCTAAAACAGAAACAATGCGAGTATATATTAATGTGGCATAAAATCAAAACAACTAAAACAAGATCTAAACAAGATATATACGGATATACCTATCTTTAACCCCGCCTTTCAATTGATAATAATCTGGAAAACCTTGTAGTCGAGCATTTTCTCTTATGGTCAGTACTCTGTCTTGTACAGGATGGAGCACAGCTTGGTTATGGGGCTCTGCCCTTGTAACTACAGTAGGAACTGTCTCATCCCACCATAGCCTTGCAAATGGCCTAGTAATTTCAAGATAAAAATATTAAAATTTAAAATATATATATATATATGTATATTGTATATCGAATTACCCAATAAAGTTTTTACTTACTTGGAAGATGTCCCCCCAACAAAGGTCATTGCATAATCTGGCACCTGTTAGCAAGCAATAAAATCAAAATGCTTTTCAACAAATTACTGGTGTGATGAAGATAACAAGTAAACTGTGATTCCATACATAATGGCGATGATAGTGGTGAAGATCAACAATAATATAAAATTTACTTTAGTTAATGTGTTATTTGTTTACTCTTGCACTAGTCCAGATACTAATCATATTATTGTCAAGGCACTAAGGCAGATTATCTAGTATAAGGTTTGTGCAGTCTTAGTGCAAAATAAATAAGGGATCAAAGCTTACCAAGGGTTTCTTTGAGGGTAAATATTCCCTCTCAACATCAGGATCCCATTCTACCTTGTTATCAGAACGAACACGCACTCCTGGTAGATCTCGAAAGTTTGCTCCCTGAGCAAAAAGACACTTATTAAATCCAATACCCAAGCGGAAAAGGAGCAAGTAGTCAAGTAAAATAAGATGATTACCTTCTTCTTAGGAATCCGACAAACCCTCTGGTAATCGTCAACATTCAAGTTAAGGGGCCGGTGGTCATAGAGTTTGGATATAAACTCTGAGCCATTTCTAGAACCAAGCATAGCTGCAACATAAAAGGGACATGATCTCAAAAAGTGAGTTGGCAAACAGATTTCCCTACAACACACCATTACAGCAATGGTCCAAAAATAGACAAGACCGTCAAAAAGAAATCAAAACTCAGATAATTACCATCCTTTGTCATTCTAATGAAGCGCTGGAACTCTGTTTTTGGAGGACAGCTATATGGTATCTCATCACGACTCTCAGCATTGGTTACCTGCATTGCCATGACAAAAACATAAAGACCACAGAATTGACAATTTGGAACTTAAAAAATAGAATAAACCACCACAGAAATCTGGCATACTCAAAGAACTCTCAATCACTTACCTCCGGCATATCAGAGATAGCATCGCCAAGAAAAAGTTTGTTCTCTAATTGAACAGTATGTCCCTCATTATAAGCAACCGTATTTATCTACAATATAAATCAGACATTGTCAGTCTTTCGAGACTATATTGTGTGAATCAGATGTGTCTGTCTATTGAGACTATATAGTGTGAATCAGATGAATAGGGAACAGTGATTCAATTTCATACCTCAAACTCAGTTGGAATAACACCTCTCAGAACAAGGTCATGTGTTGGCAATGGATATTGAGGCAATTTCTGCATAGAACAAATAGATTAGCTATTAGATATAACATGAATTAACAAGCAGCAATGGCTAGACCAAGAAAGAGACAATTAAGACATAAAAACCTTATATACATTATTTGGTGGAACGAATTCAAGTTCAAATCAAGATATCTATCTATAAATCAGAACCTAATTCCTTGTTTAGAGAGTTAACTTCTATGGAAATTAATGCAAAAGATTTTAAAAAAAATACAAAAAGCTCAAAGCTAGAGTTACATTAAGTCTGAGTAAATAAGAGATAAGCAACCAACGTCTATATATTGTAATTCCTTATCACAAAAAAGTTCACCATGTGGTTACCCAATTCTTCAGTATATAAAGAACCAAAAAAAGAGAAAAAAACGTTCCATGGCTAGTTTAATGCAGATTACAACGTGAATCACTCATATACGGGAAGTCAGGAGCCATATCCCTTGATAGAAAGGCTCTTGAGTTATATAAACATTCCTTTCAAACCAAGCACAAGCTAAATGGTTCAATTATCAGTATGCAAGGAGCTCAGGATTTAAAGATATAATGATACTGTATGATGTGGTATGCATGTTAACCAAAGCATAGATATACACATGCAACCTAAGTAATTAAACAGTATACCATAAAAACCTTACCTCTGAAGGCTGAGCACCCCATATAAAAACACGCATACGAAACTGGGGTAGTCCATAAGCACCAGCAGCCATCATTCCCATTCTTGCTTGATAATTCATATCAACTAACCTCCCAAGAGCATATCTCCCCAAAAAACCCTTAGAGAACTTAACCAAGTCAACAACGTTCTCCATCAGTGCATATTTTGGCTTCAAATAGTTTACAACATCCATGTAAACTACAAGCTGTTCGTTTTTAGGGTCAGCAAGTGGATTTTCAGCGTTTCTAAACCGATTGAATCCACTTATGCCTTGGCATGGAGGTCCACCACATACAACATCAACATCACCCTACAAAACATTATAAATGAGTAATAGTAAGTCCCGATCTTATGAATGGACTGCAGCAGCTGATAAAGACCGATTCAGCTTACCGGGAAAGGCAGAATTTTTTCCTTATAGCCCTTCTTCACAAATTCTCCAATCTTCTCACGACAATTGCTGGTTCAAGAGCTCTTTTAGAAATGATCTACATCTGAAACTACAATTGCAAAGCAAATCAGATTTCTTACCTTAGCCCCTCTAAAGGTTCCCAGGTGTCATCCTTCTCTCCATATCCCTTCCAACGGACCTATTGATTTTGGAAAGGAAATAAAATCATGAGCTTATAGCACAACAGCCAGAACCAACATTGGGGAATTCACACTGAACTTACAACCAAGTTTCCTTATCCATAGACACAACATGCATCATCAATTAACTAGCTTCCTTAATGTTTGTATATTTTCTACAAACATAATTCACTTATTTATTAGAAATGGTTGCTCCTAGAATTACTTGACCAATGTCAACCTAGGATGCTTACATATATGGTAAAGATTTCTTGAATAGCAGCATTTATATATCATCAGCAGAAAGATTGCTTAAAGCCATTATATGCTACTGTAGCACCAATGGACAGTCATAATTGCCAAGGAAGATCTAAAATTAACTAATTAAAGACTTAATGTATTATTGTAATGTTTTGCATTTACTTGAAGATATTAACAATACAAGTATAATACTTGTAAGAAATAAAGACAATTCAAAATATATATGTTAAAAAAAAAAGAGGGGGTGGGGGGGTAAAGAAACTACATCTAACCCTTGTATTCCGATTCATAATGCCCAAGACAGCTAATAATACTCAACCACGAATTATGTTTGATCATTGCAAATTTAAATGCATACCCTTTAACTAAGTTGAAAAAAAAAAAAAATTAACCAACTTGTCATTTCAAGCACACAATACCTTGAAGTAAAGCCCCGGTTTATCACAGTCTTTGGGATCACCATAACAAATCCCAAGAACTTTTTCAACTTCAAATACTTCTTCATCTGGATTATCATCTTCATTGGCATCATCCTCAGCATTGTCATCGTCCTCCTCAACCACTGAATCAATTATTTTATGTGTTGTTTCACTTTGAATCAAGCCAAAGGATGCACATATCTTCGGCCACTCTTTAAGCAAGGTCAAAAAGTCACCAACAGACTCATTACGCACCTGTGTTTAAAAAGCACATGATTTAATAAAACAGTGTTTTAGAAAAGTAGGCTTCAACTCCACTGTCTGGAAACAACAGCAGCAACAACAATTATAATCATAATAATAATAGCATGCATTACATTGGTTTCCGGATGATTGAGTGCTAGACTCTGACATGCAAATTGATTAACATCAACGGCCCACCTCTGTTCAAACAAAAAAGCCATTAGCAGTCTACAGACTGTATATCACAAAAAACATCAAATTATAAGATTCACTAACCGTTACAAGGTTAGACCCATGCAAGTTAGCACCCAGGCATAAACCAGTGGACATTGCACCACAACCACAGTAAAGATCTAATACAGTTATTTCTGAATTGCTTGACTCATTCCCTTGAGGAGCCTCATCAGAATCAGACTTTGCATCACCAACTGCTCCATTAACCTCCTTATCACTTGAAATAGTAGATTGTGATTCACTTCCAGGACTAGCAGTTTCTGTATGGAAATAAGGGTCAGATTCTAAAGTGTGTCCAGGCTAGCATTTCACAATAACATTAAAGCTCGTTGACATACCAGCTGGTGGTATTATATATGTGGAGTAGGGTAGCAAGTATTTCATGTCATAATAGTAATCACAATCTGGAATTGCTGACAATTTTGAATCAACATCTAACTGCCATCAAGTTAAAGCAAATTTTCAGAAATGTTGCCAAAAGGCTATTAATACTTTAATAGCACACATGTTTCATTAAAGGAAGGATCATTCAGGAAACTTACATTGGGAGTAACCCTAACAATGTTAATTTTTTCAAGAAGACAGTCCAACGGATTATCATCCATGATTTCCGAAGCAAACACACGCTTTGCCTCCCTTAGAGTAATACTCTCTTTCATAACCTACACATTTTAAGATAAAGGCAATACAGAATTAATAAGAAGCTATCTGAGAATATAGGTAACCATGCCTGCATAAGCATAAGAGAAATTTCTGAGTATTTACACTTACAGTGTCTACTGATCTGTAATACCATTGTGCCCTGAAATACGGCAAGCCATCAACTCCCTCGAACATTTCAAGAATCTTACAGATGTATGGTGGTTTACCATCTTCGGACTGAACACAAAATTCAATAGTTTAGCTAGGTTACAAAGATAGCTTTTAACTGAATCTAGCAGTATTTCATTAAATTTAGGGCTTGATGCACAACAAATTTGCAAACAGCTTTCCATACATATAGGCAAGTAGGTAACCCTAATCATGAAAGTCAATTTTACCTAGATGCTAATGCTCGCTCTCTTATATAAGAGATTCCGAACACTCGCGTTACAAACTAGAGTTCATAGTAATTAACCATAAAACACAATCTTTTGATCAATAACATTAAATTCGGATTTAATAAGGTATAGACTCTTCAACATCACGGGTTTTTAAGTCAAATTTACCCTATATGATAATGCTTGCTCCCTTGTATAGCACTTTTGCTCACATAAAAGATTTCAAGTGTTACAAACTAGAAAGTCACAGTGATCAACCATAGAACATAAACTTTCGAATGATATCATTGAATACTTCACATCAGATTTAATAATATGTAGACTCTTCAAAATCATACAACACTTAAATTATACTCTCATTTTATTATAAATCACCCGTAAACAACACTCTAAGATTTTCAAGTCAAACTGAACCCTGCAAAAATCTCATTAAAATCATATATCATTCAGTATACATAATACCATAAACCCATCATTTTTTTCAATACCTTACATGCTCACAAAACCAAATCACACTAAACAATGACAAAAATTAGGGCATAACCTGAACGTGAGCGTTATCATTCAACTCAAAAATCTTGAAACCATCAACCTCAGCCTTAAAGTAGTGACACTTTGCTGGAATTAGCTCCTCATCATCATCGTCAGAACTGCAATAAATTACAAATAATTCAATTACAAACTTCACTTTCTTCCGTCATTTTCACCCAAACTAACACAGATAAACAACAACAAACAACAAAAATCACTCAAACTAAAAAACACCAATAAACAACAAACAGCAAAATCACCCAAATTAACACAGATAAACAGCGACAAAAAAAAACACTCAATTTATTTATCTTACGTTTTCGATTTCTTTGCTCCTTGTTCGACCTGATCATCAATCAAAAAATAAATAAATAGATAAAATCACGGAAAATTAACCAAAAATCTGAAAAAAATTACGGCAAAAAGAAAAACCTTAGCAGAATAACGATGAGGCCAACGAAGCTTCGCTTCATCGGCGGGAACCGGATCTCCGAGGAATCTGCAATCCAACTCCTCTTTCTTAACCAATTTCCGAGAATTTTTCCGGCCAGAATTCGTCGGAGATTCAACAATCTCTTCAACCCCCGCTTCCACCTCTTCATCTACCGGAATGCTGACCTCAGAACTCTCAGTTTTGACATCGTTAACAACCTCTTCTACCTTCTCAACCACCTCCACAACCTTCTGCTTCTTACTCTTCGAACAACCTGAAGCAGACGATGAAGAAGACGAAGGCTTCTTCCTGATTGACTTACGCTTCGGCATTGTTGATTGATGAGAGAGAAAGTGAGGTGGCGGCGAAGAAGAAATGAGGAGAATTGAAAGAGAAGGGTTTATAATATTAGAGGAGAGAGAGAGTGAACGGATTGAAGCGGGAAATTGTCGGAAATTTTGGAAGAATGAAATAAAAAAGGGGGAAATACAAAAACGAAATGAATAAAATATTGAAAGAGATGGGGGATTATTGGTGTGCGGATTTTCAAGGCAAGGGGAATTATTTTGGTTTTTTGAAGGCGGGGAAGTTTGAATTTTGAACCGTTGCTTAGCTTCAATCACTTCAGCTTCAGCTTGCTGTATGTCTACTTAAGGTCTATCGGTCTATGGAGTTCTTGGATTAATATTGTACCTTTGTGGTGTCTCAATTGTTATGGATTTGTGCAATTAGGATAAAAATTGATTCTTTCAAGCACCTTCTATACATTGACGCGTGCACTTTGTTAATAAGGTATTTAGACATATTTTGTACTCCATAGTATTTGTTTTAGTTGTGCAGTGTATTACACTAGTTTTGTTAAATTGTACTCTGTATGTATATGAGTCCCCTTCAATTATTATTGGGCATTGTGCACTTGCAAGGGTTACATTTAATTATGATTGAGTCTTATATGGATATTGTCGTATTAGATGACATTAACTACAAAGCGTAAATTATATTTCTTTAGCTTATATATAGTTGCATTTGTTTATTTATATATAGTCACATTTGTCTATGTAGTAATTTGACCCTAAATTTAAATAATTAAATATTAATGATAAAACAAATTGATTTACTAAAAAGAATGTATTAATACGAAGTAAATGGATAGTGAATAAAATCACACTGTGTAATTATCTAGAACAAAGGGTATAATTTTTATTTTATTTTTTTGGTGTTTAGAGAGCCACAAGGGCAAATGATGAGAATCGATCCCAAGATACTTGAAACCGAAATGAAAGCTCTAACTAGTTGAGCTATCCATCACTCTCACAAAAGGGTATAAAATAGAGCAAGTTATCCAGTATTTTGATAGAGTATATTTGTTCTATAAACTTCCATACATATCAAGGTGGGTTAATGCATGTGCTTGATTCTTTATAATTATCTTTGTTAAATAGAAGTTGTGGATCATGAATTTTCAACGACATTGTATGTAATACCTCAAAAAAAAAATTATATTTAATCAACAATTTTTCTAGTATAAAGTTTAAATTAATAATTATTTTCAAATTTATAGAAAAAAAATTTAATAATTATTATTTTTATTTCCATTTTCGGATTTATTAAAAAAAAAAACTGGTTTCCTATTTCGCAGAAACTGATTTTGAAAAAAATAAATAAAAAATTAAGTTTATCTTTTCAGAACTAGCAACAAACTCAATTTGAAATTGGGTCTTATCTTCAGAATATTCTAGAGCAATTAAACCTAAGATTTCTAAGTTATATATACTCTAAATCCCAATTGATCTGCCGACTGCCGTATACAAACACTCTCAAATAATACCCATCTCTTTCAACCTTTCACAAGTCGTCATTCCCGCCGATCTTTCAACAGTAAGCCATGGTTCTTCTTCACCTTCATCTTTCTTGAAATAGTTGTGAGCCAACCCTCTACGAATTTCGTCTTCGTTTAGTAACCTTGAGCTATATTTTCATATGGTTTTCTTTCCGATTCATAGAATATAATTTCAAAAAAAAATAGAAACAAAATTAAAAGGGTTTTGTTGTTTTCTTTCGTAACTATAAGACAAACTCATAGTCTTATAGTGGATGAGTAGTATCAATGGTGGAAAAGACGAGAAGCTATTTTATAAGTGACAAAGAGTTTGCAGAAAAAAAAAAAAATTTAACACCATTGAAATTATTTAGAGGAAGAAGGTTGTTGGATTTCGACTTTCAGTCGTGGGAATGTGGGATAGATAATAGACCCCTTATCTAATATCCAATACTTCTTTTTATTATCACTGCTGACTTACAAAATATCTTTTTATTTCCTCCAATATTTTTATTATGAAGATAGTATGCTACGAGTAGTCCTAACCCACATACTACTACTTTCTCGGTATTAAAAATACGAGTAGGACTGAATTAGTTTATTTTATCTGTTTGTTGTAGACAGAGGCTACTAGGTGAACGTTTTGGAGGTCATTTACCTTAAGTTTTAAGCGCGATTCAAGGTAATTTTCAATGTCCATCATCTTTAGAATCTCGTTAGGAAATTGTTTTAAATTATTGTGTGCCAACTATGTGCTTACGTAATTATATGTGATGGGTGTGTTACCGTATGATATTCTGAAATTATATTATATACTAGTTTTCTATAATTGTGTACTAGTATAATGTTTTCGAAAAATTGATTATTTGGTATCGTATGAGTTTTTATATAATTATAATCTTGGGAATTGGATGATTGATTATATGTGATTGATGGTCTCCAAAACCTATTGAAAAACGAGTTGTAACCAGTATGTCTTGTAAAATGACTATGTTTTAATACTGAAATTACAATATTGCTACCTGGGATTAAATTGATTTTGTGCAATGCTCGTGTGCAATGTGATTGGACAATTTAATCTATTAAAGATGTACATTAAATTAAAAAGGGAAATGAAACCCGAAAGGGTGAAGAACAGGTTGCCCACTAGTAGTTATGGTTGCTACTAGTTGGTTTAAATTAACGTATATTGTTGTTTAGTCTTCTTCCTAATCAATGGGTATTAGTGAGGGGTGTGCACACTAGGGACATTCTATTTAATTTATGGCCATTTGGGGTTACGCGCGACCCCCTGTAAAGTAGGTGGTGATAGGGACTAGTGCCGGCTTACTGACGTTCTCTTTCCCTTTCTTAACTAAAGTAATAAATTTTATGTGACAATTTGATTTTTGACTTATTATTATAATGTCGATAAAATTGTGTTGTCTACATTTTTTTTTTGAACTAAAATTATTATTTTACGGGATGGAGTTGGAATTACTCAGTTTATCTGATTTTGGGGAGTTTTCTCTCTTTTCTTGTTTATGATTTATTTTGCAGGTTGGTAAAATGGTACTCGGTTACGTGTGAGGAGACGTTAGAGTAATCACGTAGCTAAGACAATTAGTTTAATTCGGAACTTATTTATTTTCCTTTTTAAATTAATGTTTTTAAAGTGTTTTACAGCTTGGATGTAACGACTATTTTATTTTATTATTGTCGCCACTTAGATCACTTAGTTATAAAATGGTATTTTGTTTTTGCTTTGCACTTGTTTTCTATGGAAAATAAGTGTAGCAGTAACACTCTCAAGGTTCGATTGTCGGTTTTGAAAGAAAAGGGTTACTCTTATCGTTTTACAAAGACCCGAATTTTGGGGGTGTTACATTGTATCTACAAGAATGATGAAATATGTTCTACAATCTTTTAGTCACATGTCTTTCACCCGCCATCTTCAACTATATATACTTATATTAGGCATTCAATCACATAGACACACATAAGAAGCCACACCCAAATAAACCTTGCTATATATCAGTCGTCTTTGCTATCCAATATCTTACTATTCATCCTTTACGTTGGGAAATTAAGTCACAAGAAAGAAAATCAATAGATTACCCAATAAAAATATTAATTTTTTTAAAATAATTTAATCACGCTATTACTCTCTTTACTAACTAATTACTACTCCGTAACAAACAACGAATATATTTACATAAATAATAATTCATCTATAAATTAGTTTCGTTTAAAACCTATAATTCCAAAATGGAAAAAAAAATCTAAAGAATTGTCAACGAAAATGCAATAATCATTCTAATAATCTAAACCATGTTAATAATTACAACTAAAACCCTACTTATCCAAAAAGTTAATAAACAATTAATTAAGTTAGTAATTATATTTTGATTTATGCACTAAAAAAAATTTCCAACCCATTCACACGCCACATTCCATGTACAAATGGATCATTCCGGTATTTCATGAAGAAGATTTTTTTTTTTCGAAATTGGTGCAAGATTCTAATACCTTTTCATTCACGTCCACTTTATGCTTATAAGTACCTTACATCCATAAATAAGAGAAATTGGTGGATGAATGTTTGCCCTCTTTTATCAAATTAATTAAGTCAATTTTTTTTAACGATGAATAAGCGGGTTCATAAAACAAAAAGATTATAAATATTCCAAAATAAGGTATACTAAATGAAAAAGTTGCATTTATAAAGAAATCATTCCAGTCAACAGAATTACAGAAATTTTATTGTAAAAGATTCATAGATGAGGTTACTAAGTAATAATTTAAATTTTAAAAAATAAATAAAAAAAATAACAATAAATTTCTATGTAATAAAAATGAAGCTACTTCATAATTACTTAAAATTTAATAATTTCAAAACTAATCATTCTAATAATATGATATTAAATTTGAAAAACTTATTTCCATGGGTTTTTTCTTACAAATTTTTTCTACATGAAAACTATTTAAACTATAATATATATTTTTATTGTCTACTTGATAATGTCTTTAAATACACTAAAACTTTTTAATTAAAAGATGAGGTGAATTATTATATATTTATATCCATTGTAAAATTGTCCAAGATCAAAGTTGCCCTAGAAATAAATAAGAATACCCCAATATAAATAAAGTTTCCTCAACATAAATAAAAGTTATCTCTATCTTATTGATATAAAGTTACTCTCTCTAAATGTGTAAAAATCAAATTATGGTGATCATTACACTACAAAAAAATTGTCTTTTCGTATCGATTATTTCATAAATACATTCGTTACAATATGTACATATGTTTATGAAATAGTAGAGGAATCCATATCATTTTACAATCGACATAGTAAACCCATGTGAAATCGATACGAAAAATATAATAATATTTATTCACTTTTTTTTGTACATTTATAAAATTATGGAAAAGCGTATCGTTTACAATCGACACCAAAAGTCTTTTTTACACTAGATTTTAAAATTTTGTTTAACAAAGAGAACATAAAATATTTCATAGCTTATTAGAAAAACATTTAATATAAGAGTTTGAGGTTGCATGTTCGTAAAATAGATCATATGTAGGGATTTTTTTTTTTTTTTTTTTTTTTGTAGAAAATGAGTTCAACCGTTGTAGTGACTATAATCGTTACAATAAACACCATGATTGAATGTAGTCTTCTGTATCGATTAATGAGGACAACCCCAGCGAAATCGAAAAACACTAATAAAGGCTATGGTAACAGCGAATATTGTATCGAATAACCATTCGTTGGGATTTTTTTTTCGTAGCAATTAAAATCGATACGAAATGTTAAAATAATCGCTACAAAAAGGTATTTTTCTTTTAGTGTTATATATTGGTATAAAAAATAGCACCATTGTGACACATTTTGGTTTAACAATTAGCACCATTGCGACGTATTAGTATAAAACTTATCATCAACGACATATTGGTACAAAAGCTAGCAATGATAGATTGATATAAAATTAAAGTTAATGAACAGAAACACTTAGCAAGGGTTAAATGTTGCCATTTGTTAACTTTTATACCTGTGTCACAGTACACGGGTACTAACTTGTATACTAATTTGTCGCCAGAGTTAACTTGTATACCAATGTGTTACAAGGGTGCTGATTTCTATACCAATGTGGTCAATTGACCCTTTATCAATATTAGCATGTTTTTGTTCAACAATGAAGACCGTTAAGCAAAATTGTCTGTTCTTCGAAAAGGCGTATACGAGGGTTTGAAAAAGGCATGTAAGGGTAATGAGAAACAATATTTTTGCCAAAGTAAAGTAGATTGTGTGAAGTATTTTATACATACACGCATCCCAAAATGAAATAACTTTAATTATTTATGGAGTAATGTTGTTCAACAATAACATTTAAGAGCTAATTAGGCCTACACACAACCTACAGGTCCATGGAACAACAACCAATATCATAGCCATTGGCTAATTGAGTTGCATCCTCATTGCTCCATTAGCTACAACAAGACTATACCAAAGTGATCCTTGGCACACCACACTTAAGCCTACATAATCATCCCTACAATTGCAATCTTCCATTCAATGATCAAAATACACAAATCCTCCTTATATTTGTTTCAACTTACATGCACACCCATTACCATGAATTAACTTCCGACATATAAATATGGGTTGACTTTCAAAACCAAATAGTTGAGTTAAGTGTAACGAGCCCATTTCGTTGACCACCACTAACAACAATCATTAGACTCCGCAAAATCAAGGAGCATGTTAGCGATAGTGGTATTTTGGCTTAAAAGTTTTACCTCTAGTGCGTTATGATCTACAACTATAAAATCTACTACAATAATTTGGATAAATAGGCAAACAATGATACAATTAATTACAATAAATCCGTAGCGAATGCGACAAATAATATATTCACAAAGCACGTGATACTTAAAGATAGGCAAAATCCTATATATATATATATATATATATATATATATATATATATATATATATATATATATATTTGCTTAATAATCATTTAAAGCGTTATTTTTCTTTCTTAAGACGATCTTTACACATACATTTAAAAATGGCTTGTAATATTGCCCTTTTTGTTTCTTCATATAATTGCATTGTCTAATTGAAGAGTTAAGATCAAATCACAGGCAATACTACTCCGTAAAATATAAAGAAATCAAAAGGCTCATGATGCTTTCCTTGTGATTTGCAGACATCACATGTATTATCATTTACAAAGTTCTATATATGGGTCAATACGTTGAAAAATATTATATAGTCCACTCTGAATAGCTTTGGACAAGTGGGAATGACTATATGATAGATTTTTCAACGTATGAAAAAAATTAATCTCACATTTCATTCTTGATTTGAATCAACTTGATTTAGTTATTTCAAGTAAGGAAATAATGATTGTTCAAAGCTGATGCATCTTTTTTACTTTTCTCACCCGCCTCTTATTTGAACAAATCTCAAATTAAAAGAAACCCGTAAAACTATGAAAGACGCATCTTATTCATTTATGTCACAACATGACTCTCATTACTTGTAATTCGACCTTCATATATGTAATTCGAAGAGTTTCAATGGAGGAACCAAAGCTCAAGAGCACTTTCAATCAGTGGCGTATCCAGGATTCACATATATGGTGTGCACAATTATATGCTTAATAGACAAACAAGTTGTAGTCAGCAAAAATAATGGTTGGGAAAAATGTGTAACAATGGATTCGAACTTTAAACGAGAGTGACAATTCAAAAAAGCTTAAAGACACTTGGATAACCGGCAAGCTACACTTTGCTATAAGGCTGCTTCAAATTTTATTTCAATGAACATGCAGGGTATGTAAATCCGCCCTGGTGTTAGCTGTATCCGCCCTTGCTTTCAATGGAGGAAAAGGACAAACCCTTTACTCTGGGGTTATCATGTCCTTTATTTCTCCATTTTTAATAGGGTTTTCTTTGGTGATGGAAATGGTTGCTTTTAATGGAAGAGAATTATCTGTTGAGGTGCTTCGGCAGAGAGTGGAGGAGGAAAGTAAGCCCAATACTTACAAAATTGTCATTTAATAATGCTAACCGTTGTTTTTTATTACAACATTTCCATCAGATTGACAAATCTGGTCAGTAAAAATAAAATAAAATATTAATACTGGTGCAGTCTCGATCGAGGTTATCATGTTACATCCTTTTAACATATAAATAACACCAAAGCCTATTAGACAAGTTGCCAATATTGTCATAGACGGATCTAGGAGCGGGCCTACCTAGGCCATGGCCCGCCCCATGAACCATTTTTTTTTAATATTAAATCTTTATTGCTGCACTAAATACTATATACTAGAGTTGGCTAAGTTGGTTTTTATTTTTTACCATTTTGCCAAACGCTCTACTAAAAACTAGTGGGTGCCAACTTCGATTCTTGCTGGCAACATTTTTTTTGGTCTTTTCTTTTTATTTAATAAAAAACTTATAGGGTACGGCCCGTCTAATGAAATAATCCTAGATCCGTCTTTGAATATCGTCATAAATCAGTTAGACAAGAGAGATTTTAATAAAGCTTAAATAAAAATGGATCTAGTTTTAACATGATTGTTAGAGGCACCATATCTTGCTATTTATTATGATGAAGTTATTGATTTTTTTTTTTTTTTTTTTTTCTCATGTGTTTAGAGAAGTCAATCTCGCACCTTATGCTATAACCCCATTTTAACCTATCAAATAAGGTTCTCCTACGAGTAATCTGGTTCGAGAATGTAATTGCAACCGATTATTGCTTAATTGCTTCATAAAGCTAGCGGTTGAGATCGGTTTTTATGTACTCCCTTTATATAAAAAAAATTTCACATACATGCACAAGAGTTGCGTGAAAAAAAGCTAAAAGAAACGTGGAATACCAAACATACCCATGGGCTGTTGGATGCTGTCACGCTAATAAATAGCGATGCTCTTTTATTTTATTTTTCCACAATTTCAGAGAAAATATAGAGCCATTTTCTTGTTCTTTCTACTTTATTTTATTTATAAACCAAATTTAAAAATAAACAAAACATCAAGAAAAAAAGCGATAGAAAAAAATAAATAAATAGAAATCCAAGTAGTAAAAAATAAATAAATCAGTCCTCATCTTCTTTCTCTCTCTCACATCATCGTACAAACTCGAAACTGCAAAGTACAAACCCTAGTAAGGAAGAAAACCATCCCTCAAAAAAAATCCCCAAGTTCTTCGAATCCTTAACCCTAATTTCAACCCTTAACTCTACATTTTCCTGAACAATTCGATCAAATTTTTAATTATTTCAGTGGAAGATCAAATCGAAAATGCAATCGGATTCAAAATTCAGGTCGTAACAGATCGAATGATGGTAACCCTAGCGAAAAGTGAGAATTACGACGCCGATTGTATGGGAACAGAAACATGCCGGAGCTTCAAAGAGGGGTAAAACGACATCGTACTTCTGTCAAGAATCAGAAATCTGATCATTTGGTTGGTAATTACATTCGAACTCGCGCCGCGGTTGCTAGAGAAACAGCGAAGGCGGCGGAAGCAGCTGGGAAGAAGGTTGTTGAGGAGGGAGAAAGGGTTGTTAAGAATCCCCCAAGAACTAGGTTAGCTGTTAAGAAGGCTAAACAGGTAGAAATTCCAAAAATTATTAATAATAATAGTAATAAGAAGAAGATTGTTAGTAAAGTTCCGGTGATTGTGGTCTCTGAGAAAGGAACTCGGTCAAAGGAGAGAGAATCAGAGGAGGAAGAAGAAGAAGAGGAGGAGGAGGAAGAAGAAGAAATGTTGGGTGATGATAGTGGTGGGTTAAGTGCCAATAATAAGGCTACTGGTCAGGATGATGATGGGAATAAATCCCCTTTTCCTGAAAGGGTAAGTTTTTATTTTATTTTATAATTTTTTTGGTCATTTTGATTATACATTGAAATTAGATGTGTGAATTGGGTTGATTTTGTTTGATTGCTTTTCAGGTTCAAGTGGGTGGTTCCCCTTTGTATAAGGTGGAAAGGAAATTAGGGAAAGGTGGGTTTGGTCAGGTGTTTGTGGGGCGTCGTGTTAACGAACGTGCCACCGGTGTCGGAGCTTTGGAGGTAATGTGTTTATCATGGTGTGAAGCATTTGTGTCTATTTTGTATGCTGTTATGCTATATATGTGTTGATTAGTTTTGGATATGTTTGATTAGCATTTGACATGTTGGCTAGTCTTGTTTCGAAGCAACTGAAACTCAATGCAAACTTTGTTTGTTGTTAAACATTGAAAGTGAAGATCATAGTTGAAATTGAATTAATTTTTATCCTTGAAATTAGATAGAGGAGTGCATATACTTTCAGTATAACTTGTTTATTTGATTGTGCTTATGGATTTTTATTTTGTATTTCATAGGTGGCTTTGAAGTTTGAGCATAAGAACAGCAAAGGCTGTAATTATGGTCCCCCGTATGAGTGGCAAGTTTACAAGTATGTATGAGAAATCCCAAAGACTGATTTTTTTTTTGGGTGTTTTGAATGTCTTTTGTTATAATACAGCTTCTCAATCTTGTTTTATTGCAGTACTCTTGGTGGTAGCCATGGAGTGCCCAAGGTGCATTACAAAGGGAGGCAAGGAGAGTATTATGTAATGGTATGGCCACTTTTCCTTGTTCTTTTACAAGCTTGTTTCTACCTGGATATTCTCACTACTAATCACTCATTTGCAGGTCATGGACATGCTTGGACCGAGCTTGTGGGATGTTTGGAATTCTTCTGGACAGACGTAAGTACTCTGTGTCATCTGTGCTTGATATCATTGGGATTACCTTGTGCTTATGAATGCTTTAAAGTTTAGTCAAGGTGGTGGTTTGTTATGGAACGGGTCAATAAGGTCAACAGAGCTATCGGACCAATTCAACCACCACTTTTGGTGTACTCCAGGTGCGCAAAACAGGGGCAGCAGCAAGGGTCAATTGTGAGAAGGAACAATGAACAACAGGACAAGGCCAATTAAGGGGAAGTTGAGGAAAGAAGGCAGCCTCCTTTAATCATAACCTTTGTGGGTTTCTATTTTAGTTAATTAATGTCACATGTTCTAGTTAAGTCTTGAGTATATGTATTGTAGTTAGGGGGCAGTAGAGACCATCCAGAAATTAGTGAAAACACATGAGAGACTTGTGGCCTAAAGCTACTGTGAGATTCATAACCTCAAGTTATGCCTATCCCTTGTAATTCAATCATCAGTGAACCAAATACTCAAGTTTAAGCCTTGGTTCTTGCAAATTGTCTTAAATTATAATTGCAGTAAGTTAGTCTATTACATGGTTATGCCATAGTCACTATCATGGTGGATGGTGCCATTATTGCTGACAAAGTACTGCATCCTAATGATTTACAACTTTAATCAGTTTTTTCAAAGTTCTGCAAAGTGTTTGTTAGCGCAATTTTTCTTAAGTAACATGATGCAATAGTACAGAAAAATATGCGTTGTTTTGTACACATCATTTCTCTGGAAGGGCTTCTAATTAGAGTTTCTGTATAGTATAATTGCTTGCTATAGCTCCTTTGTTTGCATCTAACCACATATTGGCTTGTTTGGTTGGTAATATCTTGTATGGGATATGGGAATTATGTAGTAAACTTGTTCAGGCTGAAGAATAATCAGATTCAATTCACTGTGTTGATGACAGGTTTTAATTTGTCTGGTCTGTTATAATCTTAGAGTTTATGGGGTGTGTGAGTAGGCAGAGTAGCTTGTGTTAATTGGCAGTTTGTTTTGTACCTTGGGCGTTTTGAGTATAGTGTAGTGTACTTGAGGATGGGGTTATGGATATGATATATTTTTATATGATTTTGAAGAGAGTGTATCCAAGACATTAATTTAGTGGACGAGTCCTATGGTATGCACAAGGGAAACACCACCTTATTAATAGGCTTTTGGAAATGGTTTGAGGCTTTGAGTTGTGTGTGGAGTGAATATGTCCAATAGCATGAGTGAGCAAAATTGTGAGCCTGTCACTAATTGATATAGGAAGAAACTTGTCTGGATATGTCATGGAATTCACCAATTTTCTAATTTTGGGAACATCTGGTGTTTAGGTGCCAGGGATGGCTAACACTTATTGGATAGAATAGGATAGAAATGGTGTCATATCTATTAGTTTTTCTAAGCTTTGATGCATGTTTTTTTTTTCTTCCTCTGGCTATCAATCTGGTGGTGCACATGGAAAGTAATAAACCGGCGTACTTTTGTGGTATAACTTCTGTATAATTTTTGCTAACTATATATTTCTGAATTTTGTAGATAAATTGCTTATGATAGCTAGAGTAATGTTTTCTTTTGTCAGTTACTCTTTTAGAATTGAGAAATGCTGCATCAGTGATATCTTAAATAATATAGCTGAGTCTGGGGGAAGAAGCTGATGTTTGATGACGTTCAGTAGTAGTGATTTGATTTCTTTATATTGTTCTGTTCTTTGAAGTTATTTTTTGCTTCAAACGCCTTCCTTTATGCAAACAATTTATGTGTTTTTGTCTAATTTTGCCATGATAGGAATGATCTTTCTTATTCTTCACTTTGTTTTCTTTGTGCTTTGACCATATTGTATGGAATCACCAATCATTTGATGTATCTGCACTTTTGCAGGATGTCAGTTGAAATGGTTGCCTGTATAGCAGTTGAGTCATTATCAATTCTCGAGAAGATGCATACTAAAGGGTACGCTAATGCATTCATTTATATTGTCTTATCAAATAGCTGGAGACACATCTGAAAAAAGTTTCTATTATGTCTTAGAATTTGAATTTGGTACTTTAGATTTTGAATGTTAATTATGTCGTGTTTTACATCAATATCAGTTATGTGCATGGAGATGTGAAGCCAGAAAACTTTTTACTTGGCCAGCCCTCTACTTCGCAGGAGAAAAAATTGTTTCTTGTTGATCTTGGACTAGGTAATTTTCGTTTCTTGTAGGTTCAATCCTCAACTATATATGTTACTGTCATATTGTTTGTTATTGATTGTCTTGGCTTATTACAGCTACAAAATGGAGGGATACTTCCAGCGGGCAGCATGTTGAATATGATCAGCGTCCTGATATGTTCAGGTAAATTAAAGACCAGGTTCATAAATGATTTGTATTGTTTTACTAATTTAGTCTTATTTGCTAATACCATGTGATATAATACTTAACAGGGGAACAGTTCGATATGCCAGTGTACATGCCCACCTTGGCCGAACAGCCAGCAGAAGAGATGACTTGGAGTCTCTTGCATATACACTTATATTTCTTCTGAAGGGAAGGTTACCTTGGCAAGGGTACCAGGTACCTGTTAGCTGTTTCAGCTTTATTATGTTATTATCATTGCTGCTGCCTAACATCATTTTTCTCATCATGACTTTTAGGGTGATAACAAATCATTTCTGGTGTGCAAAAAGAAGATGGGAACCTCCCCTGAAGTTTTGTGCTGTTTTTGCCCAACGCCTCTTAAACATTTTGTTGAAATAGTTGTGAATATGAAATTTGATGAAGAGCCCAACTATTCTAAGTTGATATCATTGTTTGATGGGTTGATTGGACCAAATCCATCCATAAGGCCTATAAACACTGATGGAGCTCAGAAGGTAAATAAAGCTGTCTCTAGTCTGTTTAACTTTTTTTTTTTTTTTTTTTTTTTTTTTTTTTAAATTATATTTTTTTTCATTGAAATTCTGTTTGCTATTTTTTATTTTTTCCCTATTAGATCATCTATCAAGTTGGACAAAAACGTGGAAGGCTAAATGCTGACGAAGATGATGATGGGCAACCAAAGAAGAAGGTCCGTATGGGTGTTCCAGCTACCCAGTGGATTTCAGTTTATAATGCACGATCACCTATGAAGCAGAGGTTGGTTTTTGATGTTTTTCAGTATTCCATTATCAGGGTCAGACATTTCCACAAATTACAACAATCTCTATCTTTCCCACCTGTTTTTATTGCAGATTTCATAATTTTGCCAATATTACGCTAAAATCATCGACTTGGTTTAAATTTATTAAAGAAAAAACTACTGTGCCTTGCCCATTGATGCATCTTTGTTTGGGTTTAGGTACCATTATAATGTCGCTGATGGTCGATTGGCACAGCATGTGGAGAGAGGTAATGCAGATGGCTTGCTTATAAGCTCCGTGGCATCATGTTCCAACCTGTGGGCGTTGATTATGGATGCGGGCACTGGCTTTTCTCATCAAATTTATGAGTTATCAACTCAATTTTTGCACAAGGTAGGCTTTTTTTAATAAAAAATATATTCTATTTAATTTTGTGGTATGTATGTTGTTATACTTTCTATATTATTTGAATTATTTGTCAATGATATTTTATGCTTAAAACTTTGTAGGAGTGGATTATGGAACAATGGGAGAAGAACTTTTACATCAGTTCTGTTGCTGGTGCTAGCAATGGTAGCTCCCTTGTGGTGATGTCCAAAGGTTTGTCATAAAACTATTTCTTTTAATATGATGGATGATCAGAAAAATTTGAAATGACTTCTTCCATCTGTGTGCCTTTTATTGGTTAATCTTGTAGCACAAGGTAGGTTTTTTCCCTTACGGTTTCTTTCAGCTTTAAGTTCCCCTAGCAAGTTGGAGAGGTGATAGTTGATTTTTGTCTTTGCATCTCTCAGATTCTCAGTCTCTCAACTGTAGGCTGGCTTTCATGTGCCAGTCTTTTGAAACGAGCTTGGTGTGAATTAAATACTTTCTTCGTTCTACTCAAATTGCAACACTTGCTACTTTGGGATGTTCAAAATCTTCTAATGCAGCACTTTCCTTTTGGGAACTCTTAAAACTTCATCCATCTAATAAACATACTTTTGCCCTTGGGAATCAAATTGGGTTTTTTGTATTAACTTCTTCCTATTCGCCTCTTGTGTGAAGTAGTTTTATTCTGTATAATCACATTGGTTAGAAACCCACTTGCATTATTTCTCATTATGCCTAGAATATTGTGCAAATTGCAAGTGTTGCAATTAATGGAGTTAGTGTTAATTATGAAGATGCCTTATGCTATGCTACAATTAAGAAGCATTACCATTTTTTCATTGACAACCATGGATCAATCCTTTTGTTATATGGTGTAGTGGTTCTTCATATTTCCATCTTTTGCATTGAGTTAATTGGCTTTATAAAAAGTCTTTTGTTAATGTACAATAATGCAGCTCTATTTGCATTTTATAATCTGCTCCACTTGCAATGGCTCTTCTCCTCATTCTTGGCTTGAAGGGACCCCCCCCCCCCTCTCTGGTTTTTATGATTGGTGCCTGGTTTGGAAGGCTTGGTGATGTTATGTTCACATGATAAGCTATATGTGTTTCAAAATCCCCGTTCTTGGCTTGAAGGGACCCCCCTGGTTTTTATGATTGGTGCATGGTTTGGAAGGCTTGGTGATGTTATGTTCACATGATAAGCTATATGTGTTCCAAAATTTATTAAATTCCAAGTTAGGAAGAATATGGGTCTCTGGTTATTTTTGCTAGTTTTCTCTTCCATTGACGTTGATACCTATGATTGCAGTATGGAATCATGTTATGCATTGACTTCAAGTATCGTTTCCTTTCAATAAATAACGAGGTGTTTTCTCAGGCACTCAATACACGCAGCAATCTTACAAAGTGAGTGATGCATTTCCCTTCAAGTGGATAAACAAGAAATGGAGAGAAGGATTTCATGTCACCTCAATGGCTACTGCTGGATCAAGATGGGGTGTTGTCATGTCCCGTAATGCTGGTTTTAGTGATCAGGTACGGTTTTTGGAACCAGAAAATTATGTCTCACATTTTGCTGTTTTTGATTGCTCTCCAGTTGCCAGTACTTTTTTTAAAACATGTGTGCATTTTTTTGCGTGATGGTTGAATTTTGAGCATATACCCATTTGCATTGACCTATCAGTTACATACTTTTCATCCAGAGAAATGGATCTCATGATCCTTTTTTTTTTACTAATGCTAACTGCTGATCAGTAACAGATGAACTAAAATTATATTGCAGGACTGTCAGTTTGTAAGGACAACGTCTGCAGAATTACCATACTGGTTACTCTGCCTCCTACAAAACCTTTACTGGGATGGGTGGGGAGGGGTTTATGCAGTCAGCAGTCTTAAACTGCTATTTTTTTGTTTAAAAGTTTTAAATTCTTCAATCTCTAGTATAAATTTCCGTATTCTATAGCTGTTTAAAAATTTCAAGTTATTCTTTTTTGTCATTGCCTTTTAGTATTGTATTGATGTTTGTTTGCCTTTTCTTTTTTACCAAACTTTTGTTGTACTGCTTATTTATTGTATTTCTGTCTTTTTCTGAAACGCTTTTCCCGTGTCTCTTTTTGCAAAGAGCAGCCCCTCTGCCAGTCTTAATTTCTTAGTGTCATTAGTATGTTCATCTGGACTTTGTAATTATCCATATTCAGTCGTCACGTCATTCTGATCTGCCTATCATATTAATTTAGCTTTTGTAATAGCATTCTCTCCCTCAGCTGTTCCAAATTAATGGGGGTATCATACGGAATATCGGTAATTTTTTAGGGATGGTGACAGCTATATCCAGTCATTTGAAAGTGGTATATGCGACTATTATATCTGGTCATCGGGTGTATATCATATTTAGTGGTTGTGCTATCATGTCCGAGATGTAAATTGGATAGGACAGTATCCTGAAGGCCCTTCTTTTTGTTTTCTGTTACTTTTGTTTCCAGGTTGTGGAGCTAGATTTTTTGTACCCAAGTGAGGGCATTCACAAGCGCTGGGACAGTGGTTATCGAATAACTTCAACAGCTGCTAATATTGATCAATCTGCACTTGTCTTGAGTGTGCCAAAGCGCAGGCCAGGTGATGAAACTCAGGAAACATTGAGGACCTCTCAATTTCCTAGCACACATGTTAAGGTAGGTTAATTCAATATTATAAAATTGTAATTGTCTCTCCCCTCTTTAAGAATGTAAAAGGTGAACTGGTCCTTTATATCCCGAAGCGTCATTTTGTTTTCTAAAGGCTAATTTTCGTCTGTAGAATGTTGTAAAGTCTCCTTAGGTGCATAAGTTTTTTCATTTGGTATGAGCTTCAATTTACCTGATGCATAAGCTCTGTGATTATATCTTATAAAGTCTTATGGATAAGTGATTCAAGGTCTTACTATCTTAGCACTTGATTGAGGTAAAACCAGTATGTGCGAGTCCAGTGCCGACTAGAAACAGAGCATTATTGTTTCTTGATGGACCTTAAACGGTACTGATCACCCTTTGTCATATCTTGCAGGATAAATGGGCGAAGAATCTGTATCTTGCATGTCTGTGCTACGGAAGAACTGTTTCATGATACTCTTGTAATTAGCAAGTTGTAACAGAAAATATGAACAAAAACAGAATGAGGGCCTTCTTTCTCATCAGTTGGCCCTTTCCTTATGTAAGGGATGGAATTGGCAGCCAAGTTGGGAACTTTGTTTCTTAAGCAATTATGTGTGAAACAGGTCCCTGTATGTTGTATTGCTATTTGTCACCACTAGTGGCCTCCTTTGTCAATTACAATCGATAAAGTGGTGCTATTTATGTTCATTCTGTTCCCTTCGTTCCAGTTTTATAGTTAATGATTCGACAATGATTTTTATTTATATTGCTGAGGACACTATGCTAGTAATGCTATTAATAATGCTGAGGACACTATGCTAGTAATGCTACTGATATGATTAGCTTAGATATTAGCTCAAGATATATAATTCACAATTGTCAAGATTCTCAATTACAAGTTTGAGGGAGTGATCTCATTGTGTGTACTTGTGAACTCGTTCATTAGGGAATGGTCAGGCAGAGGTCATTGGTGTTAATGGCAGTTTTTAATTGTGATGGGAGAGAAACTATAACTTTGGAATTTAAAGATAAAATTGCTACCAGAACACATAATTTGAACCATTACGACATAATCACTATCAATCTTTAAATGTTTAGCTTAAAAACTATATTGGGTTACAACTTACAAGCTCACAGCACTAACAAATTGTCACAAGGAAGAACATTTTTGGGACAATTAAATCATTGATGCACGGTAAATTTTACAGGATTATTTTATAATTTTGTGATCTTGATCATTCGCCTCACTAATAAATTAATTTTGATGAAATTCTCATGCTTTTATTATTATGAATCCTTCTCAAGCAATCAATCATCTCTTGGTTTTAGATCACCATGCCATTTGTAATCTCCAACTTAAAAAACTAATCATTACATGTGAATTATTCTAGCCTTTACTTGTTTGTCAAATTAGCCAGAATCACAAATGACGTGGTGATCTTGGACCACCCAATAATCTCTCTAACTACCCTACCCCGACTTAACTTAATTCACTTAGAACCTGATCAAGCTCAATCCAAAGCCCGGTCTAATCCCATTCTTCATCCCAAATGACCCGCTTGTGGTACCTAATCCGACCCGACCCGACCCAACCCGACCCATGATCATCGAATATTACTTAACCAAACAAGGTAACCTCGGGCTGAAATTTACAAAATTAATACGGGTGGTAGTGGTGAAACGTCCTGTAATCAAGAGAGACAAAGAGATAGAGAGAGAATATGGGGGTGTTGCTGCCTTATCTCTCATCCACACTCTACTCTTCACTGTTTTCCCAGCTCTCTCTTACCTCCAGAAACTCGCGTTCCAATTGTAAGTAAATTTCACTCTCTTTCTTCTGTTTTCTTGCTTATTTCTGTAAACTTGCAGAACTTTGATTGTTTCATTGCATAACTTTCTGTTGCTTATTTCTGTAAATTTGCAGAACATTGATTGTTTCATTGCATTATTATCTTATTTAACCATATATATCCAAAAAAAATTAAATTGGGCAGTTGAATTTCCGTTTGTTGTACTAAAATTCTTCATTTTATTTTTATCCCATGAAAATTTGAAGTAAATAGTGTCTCTAATTTCAATATTTTGAAATTCCCATAAAATTTATAGCAATTTTTGATATCAAGGATGCAAAGAAATTGATAATTCTTGCAATTTTTGGTAATATCATATCAACATATCAAATATTGAGTACTCTGTAAAATTCTGATTATTATCACTATTTTCTATCTTTGGTTATCAGTGAACTCAAAGTCGGTTGGATTGCGCGTGAGATCGAGTTTGGAGGATGAGAATTCTGGTTCTGGTACCGGAGCTTCGGATAGTTCATCAAATATTAGCAGCTTAAGGGTTAGTTATATTTATGTCAATTTTTGATATAATGTCTAGTAATTACAGTTGGTTCATTTGATTCCATTTATATAAATTTTGTTTTGTGCATTACTTTGTTGTTGAATTAGCATATCATACATTAATCTCTCATTTGTAATGATTTATTGATACATATCAATACATGAAGAATATGGTAATAACTGCTGAGGCATTCTTGATTGAGAACTTTGTGTAATGTATTGATGTTACAATTTAGGTAATATCATACATTAATCTCTCATTTTATAATGTATTGGTTTTACAATTTAGGAAATTTTAAGGTTTTGCAAGGTATTGACAGTCTGCAATTTAGAGATTTTCTCTTATAAGCTAATAAAGTAATAAGATGTCAATTTACCAATATACTTCTTTGTTGGCTTGTTGCCATCAAATGAAAGGTGAGCCAAGTTCGAGTATTAAGATGTGGAAGAGATTTCATGTTCTGCTGTACTTAGATGGAGTACTTCCTTGGGGCTAACATGCTGAAGCTTTATATTTGCTGTTGCAGGATGATCAAGTTGTAACTTCTCGGCGCCTTTGCGTTGCGTGTTTATGCTCATCTATAGCTTTGATAAGCCCCTCTGGGAAACCTCTGTCCAGACAAGAAGCTATTGCTGCTGAAGGAAAAGAAAGGGCAGTCTGCCGGAATTGTGGCGGTAGTGGTGCTATCATATGTGAGTATAATTTATAAATTTACTGGTGTTATATTCTTTTTAAGTAAGACCTAGGTATTGTTGTTCTTTGATAAAAGCTGGTATCTGCTAGTTGGGGCTTCATAATTGCAATCTTCAGATTGTAAGCAAATTTGGCTGAATGGATTCACAAAAATCCCTGTCTCTGTATGGAATTCGACCATGCTGTACACGATGACGTTCATTTGAATTTCAGTGTCAATCTATTCTTGGTTGAATATAGGTCTTTCAATTTTGCGGACAAGTCCTCACATAGTCACATGTCCTTTTTAAGTCTTTCAATTTTTGGGACATATCCTCGCATTACAAGGACGTGTTATGTAGAAGCTTTTGTAGGCTGTTTGAAAGAAAAGCATGATGATTTCACAGATGTTTTTATCATTTCCTTGTATTTCTGCTAGAGCTTCAACTGTTACTGTTTATATTATATAAGTTGTTTGTTTTGCCTTTCATTTAGGTGATATGTGTGGTGGTACAGGAAAATGGAAGGCTTTAAATAGAAAGCGTGCTAAAGATGTATATGAGTTTACAGAATGTCCTAATTGTTATGGTAAGAACTTATGAACTTTGGCTCCTTATGCTTTGAGACTTCATTTATCAATGCAATACGTAGTTCTGACTCTGTGCTCACTTATTGTGTCTGTATCTTCATTTGCCTTGAATAATTCCTCATGTATAGGTAGAGGAAAACTGGTTTGCCCTGTTTGCTTGGGTACTGGCTTGCCAAATAACAAAGGACTTTTGAGAAGGCCTGAAGCAAAGCAGTTGCTGGATAAGATGTATAATGGTCGGCTTTTGCCAGGTTCTTAAGTAAGTTTCATTCACATGAGTATGACTTCCCTCTGTTTGAACTTCTTCAGATCTTTGTATCTTTTGCTCTATGGTTAAGTATTAAATCAATGCTCTGGGTTCTATTGTGTACAATTTATTACTTAGTCATAATTAGTTTTCACATCGATTCCTCCAATCAAGGATATGCCATGATTTTCCAAAAAGACTAAAAACTCCATATTAGTTTTGCCTTTTTTATCCTCTCTTGTATACTAACACTATGTTTGGATAACAATAAAGAAGGGAAAGGGAGGGGAAGGAAAAAGAGGGAAGGAAAAGGGAGGTAATGGGAGGGAGAAGGTGACATTCCATTTTCCTTACAAATCTCCAACAATGGAGGGATTTAGTTTATTAAAAGGGGGAGGAAAATGGATCTTTCCATTTCTTTCCCATACCCTCCTTGCATTAGATATCCAAACAAAGGATTATGCATCCCTCTTTTTCTCCTCTTCTTTTCTCTCCATTTCTCTCCATTTCTCTCTGTCCAAACATAGTGTAAATTTCAATTTTGTAGTGGTAATTTGAATACATTAGGAAAAGAGTCGAACATTTCTTCAGACGTTATATAATAATAGATTGACTATTACTTCCAGATATAGGGCGTGTTTGATAATATTGATCTGTGTAGAGTTGATCGAATGATAGATATCCATTAATATGTTCTGATGTTTGGATAAATGCCTGAAAACGTTTGGCTTGGTGCAGATTCTCATATCATATGCAACCTGAACCTGTATACTGCAAAAGAACACTACAATACCTGAAATTTTGTGGTAGTATATGTATTTCATGATATATGAATATTATCTTCATACTTAACTAATTGTTGGCGGCAAAGCAGCTTGGTGTGTAGAGAGGAGTCCCAGATTAGTATGCATGCCAGATTTGTACCGTGTGATGTATGAGCTTTTGAGATGTAGGGTGCCTCTAAATGTGGATCATACTTTCCCCTTATCTCCTAGATTTTTAGTTTATGGAGCAACGGGATTCGATCCTAGGTGTTTGGCATCATCCTACAACAGTTCAGCACTTCAGCCTACTAAGATTATTGACGTCCACAGAATTAGAGTTGTAGTAAACCAATGAGTGTTTGAAGTTGATGTAATTACTTATAAAATCATTTGTATTACCACTATTTATTCCCAAATTCCAAATTCTACTTGTTCTAGTAAATTATATCACGATCTGGTTATCTACATACTTTACCTTAACTATCACATCAAATTCATGGAGTGTATGGAGTCGTCTCAGATTAGCATGCAAGCCAGATTTTGCAAAGTGTGAGATATGACCTTGTAAATGGAGAGTTCAGGTTGGTTTCAATCATATATAATGGTACATGCTGGCTGTCCCTTGTTACATATGGCCTTTAAAAAAAAAAGAAAAAAGTTTACATATGGCCGATACTACAAACTTGTTGCTCTTGGTATTTGTAAAATTTAACCTGTTCTTAGTTATGCAATCTGACTGTCGTTTTGAATGAATGTATCCTTCACAGTAGTTTGGATAGTCAGTATTTTGATGCTTAGTGTTCATGCAAAAATGGTAGTAGCATGGTGACTTTTGAAGATTCGAAGCACCATTTAGATGTGCACGGTGCACCAAATACTGCAAATCCAGGCTTGTATTGAAGATTAGATTAAAATGAGAAAATTGATGGTATAGGAAACCCACGCTTCTAATTTGTGTTCACATTCATAATCAAGGATCAGTATTAGGCAGCTTGCTTAAAACAGTGTGCTCCGGTTTATGTTCACATTCAAAATCTAAATGGACAAAAGCTCGCTCGACTTCAGGTAGTTTCTCTAGCTTAATCTGTAGTGTCTCTCCAATAGCATGTGCTTCTTTCAAAGGAATATCCTCGGGTAGTTCAATGTCAACCTATTCCAGCAAAATGGAAAAAATAGTTGCATCAGATGAGCTGAAAATTAAAGACAAACTACAAAAACCAGGAAATCGACGCACCTCCACAAAATAAAGCACACCAAAAGTGTAAGCACGAACAGTGTCAATACGCTTAACTTGAGGGTGCCTTATAACGAGGTATGTAAACTTTTGCAAGACTTCAGGAGGAGCTGTCTGTCCTATAAGTGAAACTGCAGAAGAAATACATGTTAATATAGTATCATACTCTGAAATTCTAAATGCAGCAAGAAATAGAACAGATAAACTTTCAAGACATGATCATAAGTTCATTCACAAACTACTGTCTGGGTTCCCAGACAAACCTCGTCTCACTGGAAGCACCCATCTAGCAGCAATAGTGTGAGCATGGAATTATAACTCGGCCGTTCTGTTATATAATGGCCGTTATGTAACGGATTTTGAATTTGCCGTTCCGCTAAACCCCGTTATATAACACCGCGACAAAAATCACATCTTTCATCCCGCTTCATCCGTTATGTAACGGTGACTCGCCGCGTTAGAACGTTTTTTAACCCGTTACATCCGTTAAATATATAAGAAATTGATTATATAGTCTATAAAACATGATATTTAGTAATTTTTATTCACCAAATATGTTACCTGCTTTTATTTTGATAAATATGGTTATTTTATGTTCAAAGAATACATATTTAACTTAGACTATAAACACCACTTAATCCATTAATGTGAAATTATTCGAAAAATTCACACCGCGCTTACCGCGATCCGTTATATTCGTCCGTTATATTCGTCCGTTATAAGCCGTTTCCGCGACAACGCGACCGTTACTGTGATCGCGACCGCATCCGCAATTTTTTTCTAGGAGTGTGACTCATGTGTGTACAGGTGATAACAAGACAAGATCAAACATGATGGGGTTGCTTGTCTCTGCTCATAACACTTACAGCAGAGATCACTTTGAGTTTTTTCAAGTTCAACTAAGCTACTCAACTTGAATTTGAAAATTGTAACCAAGCAAATAAACCTACTTCACATGCTGTTATCTTTCTAATAAGGTGCTATAAACTTTTTATAACCAAGAAGAAATAATCTCATGTGCAGCATGCATGTCTCTTTTTATCCAGTTTCAACCATTTGTCATGATTCTGTATGCTTATACCTCACTGATGAAAATGCTATGAAAGAAAAACTCAAGAGTCGTAGTAAGTAGCTACCTGCATTCTCTAAAACAGTTCCTGACCAATTTGCAATTGTATATATTGCAAGAAGAATAGCGCCAGCAGGGTCTATCCACCAGTAAAACTTGTCACCAAGAATTGCAGCAACTAAACCGACCACATTCGTAACCACATCAAAGTAATGATCCTATGCACAGGGGAAAAAATAGGTTGTTCAAGCGGTTAATTTCAGCGCCAACAGAATGGAAATGGATACCTCTACAAGTCATTTACCTTGGCATAAGCTCGAACGATTTCATTTCCAGAGCTTCTGCAGTAAAGGAACAAGGCAAGTTTTACAACTGTGGCTGATATCATAATCACGCAGAGCCATATATACTGGTCAGATGTCATTTTTTCAGCACCTTCATTCTTAATTAATTGCTCCACAGCCTGTATGAGAACTTGGAATCCTGCAAATCAATATCAAAGCTTGTTGACTTCATTGCTTCCAAACTACCCAGCAATTGATCTGAAGGCTCAAATGGTCAAACACATACCTAGGGTAGCCATAATAGCCGCAAATATGATGATTCCCACTGGCTGGACTCTTAATTTCCCGATAGGGTACTTGTAGATATTGATGTTTTTCATTGAAAGATGAGTAAACCAAAGAATACCGCCAGCCATAAGGTCAAGCAAAGAATCCAACGTTGATGCAGCAATGGCTAATGATCCAGTTTTTATGGTAGCATAGATCTAAGCATCAAGCAAAAACAATAGACTTAGGAAATTTTGGACATAATTAAACAGATGCATTTCGGAACAACATATTCTGTTCTGTATTATCATATTTTTCCGCATTTGTACCCAATGAATAACCAACGGCCATATAGAATAAACAAGATTGGATTCACTAAAGCATAGCTTAGCGTTTTTTTTGCATACAAATAAATTGATCCTTCACTCAAAAACATCATCAATCCAAAATCAAGTGAATTATTTTTGAATCATCATAGCTTAACAGCACAATACCTTGAATGCCAAAAGCACAATATTAGCATAATTTGATATCTTCATTGCTCGTTCGTGTTGAGCTTGTTCATCATCATCCTCTTCTGGCAAACCTGATTGGACTACGTGATCAACTTCCTCAAAAGATTTCAAGGTAGCGAATTGTCTTTCATAGTACTCTTTCTCTCCTAGGGGAAGCAAGATAGTAGATTAGTCACATAACAACAACCAGAAAACCGAAAAGTCATCAGAAATTAAATATGCATAATATCATACTCAATCATTACTTTTGGATTTCTATCTTAACAAAAATGTTGTATTGCACATAAATTAAGTTCATATTACAGTTTATGAAAAATTGAAGGGAAAAACACCAATTAAATTATGTAACGATCTACGAGTAGCTCATAAGCACATATCCAAATAAAGGCAACTGAACTTCAATAGTCACTACTCGTATAATTCAATGTCATTTTCGGGTGTACAAGGAGCCACAAAAAGGCCAATAGTGTAGACGGGATTTAATATCACATCTCGGGGTAACCACAAAGTTAGCATCCACACAATAATTCAATGTCACTCACATACCATACCAAAGAATATCCCCTTTCCACAACATACTAGCACAAAGCAACACAAATTGAATCCAGCAAATTGAAAAGAACTTCACTTTTTCAATTTGAGGTAAAAAGAACTTAACTTTAGCTAGAATCTAGGACCCCCTTTTCCCTTTCTTCCCTTCTGACAAACTTTTATGTTATATAAACAAAATTGAATCAATTGGCAATACAATTTCCCATATATAAAACATCTGAAGATTAATTAAAAAAAAAAGGGAGAAATTAACATCTGAAGATTAAAATAAAGAGTACAAAAAAAAAACCTTGAGTTAAACTATGAGTTTTAGAGAAATTAACATCATAGCAAGATTCATCATCAACCCCAGAACGAAGCTTATCAGGCAACCTGGAAATGAAGTCTTGTCTCAACGAGTTGACCGAATTACGACGGCGTATCCCCTGCCGACCGTTTTGACTCAGTTTCCGACCCAGTAATGGCGAGCTTGAATTTGGCTCCATTCTTAGTTCTTAAGACCCCACCAAAAAAGGCAAAACTTTAAGGAAAAACTTTGTTTAGGAAAGGATTAATTTTGTAAAGCTGAAATTTCAAGGCCACTTTTTTTTTTTTTTTCAAAGTATGGCAGTGAAGGTTTATTTGGACAGGTGGGGCCAATTATATAATTGGATTTTTCTGTCTTGTAGGATGTGATTTGGGATTATAATTAGCGGTGAACATGTGATTAGGATGATAATCAATAATTTTTTGTTATTGTAAAAGTATTTATGAATAGAATGCGCCCGTGTCAATAGTATACATCATGCACGAGAATACTGAATACGTAATAATGTAATATTTATAGGGGAAAACAATGTAGAAAGTTATACAAAAATAACAAAAGTTCATTTATTTATAAGAATTATGAAAAGTTAACAGAATATGAGGATATGATAAGTACACACTCCGCAATAGTTGTGATTTTGTCATAATGAAGTGGACTTGAAATTATAATTCTTAATTTTTTTTTGAAATTATGTTGTTGACCAGGCAGTTTTATGTATTTATTTATGGGCTTTTAATTGGTGAAGCATGCTGTCCAAAAAGTCCAAACCTTTAGTTCAACCAAATAAATAATTAGAAAAAATAAAATAGTAATAATCAATGTTCAAGGCTAAGGTGCTTCCTAAGAATACAGTGTAAGTGAAGAATATAGGATAATTTTATGCTACCTCATTGAAAAATTCTTATTCGTTCTTCGATATGAAATTGGAAGGAAGTGTCGATAAATACAATAATAGTTTAAGATGATAATTGAAGATTATTAAGTTGCTTAATGTTTACATTGAATTTTTAGAATTTTTATTTTTTAAAATAGGCCCAATTTTTATGTTAGTTTTCAACTTGACAAAGGTGGACATTGTGGTGTCTTCCATGTTAAATTAAGATGACTAATTGGTGACTAGAATAATTGCTTGCATCTTTTAATTACCACTGCATTAAATGTCTAAAACATCCAAACTACGGAACTAAACTTGATTTTGGGACTTTAAAGACATGTTGGTATGTTTTACTTTGTATGACCCTAGGAACACTCCCTACATCCATTTCAATTAAAAAAATATACTCCTCAAAATAATTCTAAATCGTGTATTATCCCCTTCAATATTAGATAAATTACAATTAATGTAACGTCAAATAATTGAGGACAATTTGTTTTTCAAGGACCCCATGAGACCATTTATTTCGGCTCTTTATTATCGATTCGCCAGTTAAGAACATTTTTATTGTCATTGGCCGAATGTCATCCTATGCCTTCACGTGACCAACTAGTGGTTGTGTATGTTTTAAAACAATATTATTATAAATTTAAAGTTCGCAAGCAATGAATCTGATAAGGTTAAATATCAAGATGCTTTTTCTTCTCTTGCTGTTTAAGGGACCACAAAATTTAATTTAGTGGTAGCCAAAGACATCTAATTCATGTCACCCCTTGTAATCATAACAACTCATCAAATGGCCTACCGTGGGCATTATGGGTTGAGTTATGACAATCCTCATTTATCATTGCAATTTATAATTTTTTAGAAATTTGCAAAAATACTAGGATAAACACTATGATTGAAATTCATGACAAAAGTTTTCCGCCTCACAAACACTAGGATAAAGACATCCAATCCAAAATATACTTGTACTATTATTCAATGAAAATTCCCTTTATTATCCAAAAAGCAACTCAAATTAGTATATTCACGACCCAATAATTACAAAGTTGGTAATCTTGGTATAATAATAATTGTACAAACTTTGAATCAAAAGAAAATATTCATCAATCAAAAAATAAAAAAAAATGGAATCATCGAAAACAGTGAGAAAGTTAGAGGTGGCGTCACCTGTTCCGGCGGACATTGACATTGCGAATTCGGTGGCGCCGCTTCACATCGCCGACATTGCCGCCGATCTCAATCTCTCTCCTCGCCACTACGACCTTTACGGCAAATACAAGGCCAAGGTTTTCCTTCTTCTTATTCTCTCTCCTTTGACTTTTTAATTCACTCGCTTTTCCATTTCACTTCACTCTCATCAGTTACTTTCTGTTTCGAAAATGATTGCTTTTTTTTTTTTAATCTGGTTTTGCTTAATTTTGTATTTTTTTTTTTTGATAAATTGTTTGAGGATTTAAGTGATGGATTGAATATTTATTTTGGTTTTGCTTAATTTTGTGTTTTTTTTTGATAAATTGGTTGAGAATTTAAGTGATTGATTGAATTGTTAACCTGGTTTTGCTTAATTTGGTGTTTTTTTTTGGGATGAATTGATTGAGAATTTAAGTGATAAATGATTATTGATTGATTCAAGCCTAATTTTAGCAGTGATTGTTACTTTAGATGGAAATTTTCAATTTTTGTCAATCAACTCATCTTAATTATACATTGTTCTTTTCCCAGATTTAGTATTCTTTCTCATTAAAGATAATATAGACTTTTAGTTTTGTTGCCAAAATTTGCTTCCACTTCTAGCAATGTATCTTTTTTTATCTTTTATTACCTTGCCTGCTTGATGTGGGTGTTGTTGCTTTTGGACATCTTAATATAGCAAATCTTGATTTTGTCCGAAATAGGTTTTGTTGTCTGTGTTGGATGAAGTTCAAGACTCCCCGGATGGATATTACGTCGTGGTTGGTGGAATTACTCCGACTCCTCTCGGGGAAGGCAAATCTACAACCACTGTTGGTCTTTGTCAAGCCTTGGGAGCTTTCCTTGATAAGAAGGTAACTAAGTTTGTTTTAAGTGTTTTGTGATGTTTTATTTACTTGGTTGTATACATAACACTATTTCTTTATCTTTTTTTTTGGTAAGACATGATTTGTAAGTAGCTTATTACTCCCTCCATTTCTATCTAAATGTGTCTTTTGAGGTTACGTGCTCAAATTATAAGGAGTAATTAGTCATTGCATTAAGGAGTAATTAGTCGTTGCATTGAAAGTTAAAGCTAACAAATATTAGTACTACTATAGATTAATAGATCATTTAGGGCAAGTCCTTGTTTTACGAGGATATGCCACGCTGTCTGCAAAGTCATCTGGTGCTTACAGGTTTGGCTATTATATGCTTGCTAGAAAGTAATGGGTGCTTTGAATGGATTAGCATCACTTTGACTCCGTAAATTTCTAACATTTGAACTTGAGAGGAAAAAGATTCAAAAGTTTACATGTTTCCTCATTTCAATTTATTCTGTAATTAGATGCTTTTGATCATGAGAACTTCACAAATCAATCGGTAAAATCACAATTATGAGATCACCCTTGTAAATGTACTTGATCAGTGGACTTCAGATTCCTAGGTTATACTGAATTACTGATCTATGAGTATGGTAATATATTCATTATATTAAAATGATAAGATAAGTTGTTTCTCGAGTCAACTACTATTCCTATTTTATAACTGATTATAAAATGTGAATCACCAAACATTAAATTGATTAAGTGTGGAATATACCTATAGATTATGACTATAGCCACTATTAAGATGTTAGAACTTGGTTGAGTTTAAAGTGGAACACTTAATTTTTTATTTTATTTTTTAATTTTTTTTATTGTTCTTTCCAACTCTGCCTGAATTCCTTTTAACGCTGATTCAATATTTGTGTTCCTAGCTACTCCTTTAAAATTTTAAAGTTTGGATTTTTATTAAGCAGGACAGTCATTATTTTTGTGTTTATCTTAGATTTTGTGTTTATCTTAGATTTTATAAAATCTTCCATATTTCCATGATAAAGCCAATGCTTGCTAGTGGTCCATTCTCTTTTGCTTAATTATTTGGCTCTCCCATATGTGACCTTCCAATTTGTCCCCTGTATTCCATATTTGAAGATGGTGGGTATGACTTTGTGTGCTGTGTATTCATTTAGTCTTTCTAACTTTAATTGGTTCCTTTCCCACTTTTAAAAAAACAATTACCCAACGTGTAATTTACTCTTTATTGGGTACAAGGAATTCAAGATGTATGCACCTTTATACCTATTCCTTAACCAGTTAGTTGATGGGTTGTTTTATCCCTTACTATCTAAATACAGGCAGTTTTGGATGAATTAGCACATTGTTAATGTTTTTTTTTTTCTTCCCCCCCTATTGGTTTGAATTAGAATTTTATCTTTTGGGGATCACATCATACATCATACATCAAGTTTCATATATGCAAATGATAGCCTCCTCATTGGAGTTCATTTCCGATTTTTACTTTTTTAGAGCCCACCTTCTGAGGCCAAGTTCAAATTCCTATGTAATTTCTCTCCAATTCTTATTATCCACGGGGAAATGGGCTGGGATGACTTCATTCTTCTGTTTCCTTGTGAAGCTGTCTTTTGTATTAAGAATTAGGCTACAGATCTTACCTCTCTTAAATTTTACGGTACATAACTTTGAATTCTAGGTTATTTACAATTACTTTCATATTTGTATTGACAGAGACCGATTTCATGCTTAAGTGTTTTATAAGAAAGGCTTGAATTGAGCTATTGACACAACATTCTTCTTTGCTTTCATATTTCTTCAGGGTTCAAACTTCACTGAAACTTTTTCAGTGGCTTTAGCAATGGCTAAAAATATGTTCTAGCCAACCCATTCTGTTACCAACATGAAACAACCAACTTTTTGCCTACATCATTACTTCTGCCACTTGCAATTCCACTTCACTTTCTTTCTTTTTTTAGTTCAGTGTAAATTATAATTGTTTGAAACGTTTAGAAATGGATGTAGTAGTAGTAGTAGTAGTAATAGTTTGGTAAATTGATAAAATAGTTTTATTTGTTGCCTAAAAAAATTTGTGGAAAATTGGGTAATGGCGGGAAAAATTAGTGTAGTAATGCTCCATCAACATGATTAATCTTGGCAACCATGAGGTTCCATAAGGCCCTATTTTGGGTACTTAGCATATCTTAACAATTATAAACAACCAATACCAAATTAGCAACTATGGTGGGTGTAACACCACTTTAAAAAACCAACATCAACAAAGTTGGGATTACTTAATGGAGGATCTTTACACCTTGATGGGACAACGAGATGCCTAATTGGTTAATAAAATCATCTTTTGATTGTCTTTACAAAATGTTTGGAAACTCTTTTTCGTAACTTAAGAGACCTATTGCTAGCCCTGTTATAGCTCCAAACCAACTTTAATGACCCTTGGAGACACACCCTGGATTCATTTTAATTTTGGAAAAACTTCCCTAAATTGTGTATATTATAGCTTTTAGTTTTAGAGAAATTTCAATTTTTCCTAATCTTATTGAACCAAACTCGATCTCGAGACTTTAGAGAGTTGA